TTGACCACGATTCTTTTTTGAGATCTGTTTTAAAGTTAAAATCAGAAGCAGTTTTACTATAAAATCGATCGGAACCAGAACCAAACGTTATAAAGAAAAGCGATTCATAAGTGTTATTATCTTGTTTTGAGCATACATCATCAGATTCTATGAAACAAATACAAACAGTCAAAGCTCAAAAGAAATTCACACATACGAATTTTACAAGACGAGCCAATAAAATCATTGGAACACTCGCAGTAGTCTTCTTCATTATTCTTGCAATCAAAAATACTAGAAGCTAAAATGAAAATATAAAGATAAATTCTATTGTAGATACTTTAGCAGAAGGGAACCAACAAACATCGGCATGTTATACGTTGGAGCTCAAATAGTTTATTATCAAAGTCGACGGTAGAAACAGCGATTTTCTCTAATAGCTTGACGATGTTGTTTATCAAAACTGACGAATAAAACAAGATTTGTGACAACAGCTCAATAAACCATAGAATATCGGCATCATTTTACATGAATTTTTGAGTTGAAATCTAGATTCGCTGTATTTTCGTTGTAGATATAGTTCGGCTCTCTACCATATATGAAGTGAACCACAAACTTTGTTTTCTTACATAGTTTTAAGTAGCAGTACTAGTTGGTGTTACATCAAGTCTTGAAAGTCATTTTCTGTTCCTCTTATGTCTTTTCACTATCTTACAAAATTGATTGCGGCTCTTTCATTTTATTGATAATTGAGTTACAAGATATACTTTCATCGTCCGGTGTAGGATTTACGCTTTAATATGAAATAGAAAAAGCCAATAATTCAAACTGGCCACCTTGATAGAAACAATATTGAAGATACTTCTCTTACTCATGAAATGAAACTAAAACGCAAGATTATAGATTTTCTTTAAGTAGAAAAAAAATCTTTTCGTTTTTCCCTAACAGAATATCTTGCAAGATTAATTTTACTAAGAAAATAAAAATGTGAATAAAAGACAATAATTAAAATTGTTTGCTTTTTGAACGAGCCATTTTGAATTCGTAGGAAACTATTCATATCAGGAAACAAAGAAACGTTTTACTTGAAACTTGAAACTATTTTCTCTACATGATGCATCAAAAGTGATGAATATCTAACAAATCTCAATAACCTTATTAGCTATGAATTTTAATTAAAATCAGTTTTTTTCTTAGTGCATAATGTCGATTTGTAATGGCTCAGCTCCTCAATGATTAAGGAAAATTAAAACTTATGGCTATAGTCTACAGATCAGACTTCGCCCATTATTAGCAACAACATGTACTGCTTCGTTGAATGTGGGTGTTAAATTTCATTTAAACAATAGCGAAAGGCTAGAATACTAGCTTGAGTAATTAGAGGTGCTGGCTTAGCATTAAAAGTGAAAATAACACATTAGTGTATTATGCTAAAGAACACACTTAATGCCGATTTATTCACTAAATTAGCATTCCTAGCACGGATACTACTTTTACTGCTAAAGATTTCGTGTTCATTAATTTTCCTTCAGAAATAAATCAATGAATTATTTTCCATTTTAATGCTAAGCCAGCACCTCTATGAGTAATAAACTTGCCTATGTGTTATTTTTTTATAATTAATACTTCAATGTTTAGCGGATCCAACTTTTGTGCTTCAATCATAATCATAATTATCAAGCATCCGATTAGCACGAATATAATGTCAGCAAAATATACTTCATCAGTTTAAGAAATATATAACTGTTTTTAGACACTTACTGTGTTGAGGAGTGGTCGACGAAGTGCTGGTTATAGTTGTTGTAGTTTCTGTTGAATCTATTGCGATTGGTACAGATGAAGATGATTCTGTTGAATCTATTGCGATTGGTATAGTTGAAGATGTTTCTGTTGAATCTATTGCGATTGGTACAGTTGAAGACGTTTCTGTTGAATCCATTTCTGCGGAATCTATTGCGATTGGTGCAGTTGAAGATGTTTCTGTTGAATCTATTTCAGTTGAATCTATTGCGATTAATGTTGTTGAAGCGTCTATATTAAAAAATCGCATTCATCCATTGATTCTGGAAGACTTTCTCAAATAAATAGTGGGAAATAAAAATATGTGGAATCTAATGCAATATTTCAGGAAATCATCTTTATTAAATGCATGGAGTATGATCTATTTTTCTATGTTAGAAGCTAATAAAAGTAACTCATAGGTATACAATGCCGGTGGTGAAAGGATAAAAGTGCAGTTCTGGTTTCTAATCATGTCTATTGATATGTTTGAGTTTGAATTATGAGTCAGTTCTGCTTTAACTCTTAGTCCTGAGCATTTAAGATGATTTCTCTTCACTCAAAATAAAAAAATAAAATAAATTCTTCATATGATAGAAATAATTATAAGTCACAAGATTTTGAGGTGACGATTTTGTTTTGCATTGCGATTGGAAAATAATCGACTGTAAATCTTCTTTTCGTGCAACTCTTTGAAAATATATACCCTACTCGAATTAAATTGTATGTGAATAATAGAAATCTCGACTAAATATTTAATTTAGATTTCAGTTATCGAAGCATACAAGTATATTGCAACATGATAAAAGTTAAAATATACTTTCCTATATTTTAGATAGGGCGTGTGATCACCTATGAAAATAATGCCAGGCTTTATCTGACATCGTAAGGTTTCTCTAAAATATTTTACTAGACTAGTTGCACGATGAAGTGTTACTCGAGCGTAGTCGTCATTTATAATCTACATGCAACAAATAACAAATGATGAATAGTTAATCTCTTTCAATGGAATTCGTTAATATATGTTTCAACAAGAAATTTCTTCAAACGCATGCAAATAAATAAAACATCTGTTGAACTGATACAATATAGAGAAAAGAGGTATAAACCATGAAATGCCTAGTTCGAATTCGAATATAAACGAACACCCAACTGCATGATATCAATTCGAAAACAAGAGATAGAAGTAGATTTAGTTTTAGTTTTATATTTAGCTCAAGATGGAGTGGGTGTGAATTGAGGGCGACTAAGTGGTAACTGTGGTTGGCGGTGCGAGTGAAGGGGTGAGTATGAGGAGTACCCGGAAGGGATGCAGGAGAGGAGATACCCGGGATACTCCAAATGTGAGTGTGGGTGAATGATACCATGGAGGAGTGCTCAAATGTGGGTGCGGGTGAAGGGTATATATGTATTCATATGTCGCGTATATCGGAAAGTTAAACTAAAACTAAATCTAGGAATAGATTTAGTTTTAGTTTAGCTTTTTCAATTCTCCATTTATATTCGAACTCGAAGTAGACAGCTACTCATATAAACTAAATGGATTTTGTCTTGCTTCAACAGTTCGAACGGATATTATAAAATTATAGAAACAGTCCGATCCAGATGAATATTAATTTTTATCAGCTGCTCTAGTGCTGTTCAATAAATTCCAATCACCTAGACAATATATTGATGTGCTGTGATTTTGTCATGAATAATAAATTTTCGATAAAATAATAAAGCCCTTGAGAATCTCAATTTTTTACCATTAAGGTACTTTCTCTTAACTACTAACAAATTATCACATAAAAGAGACTAATTGATTAGCTGAGTAATTAGTAAAGCTAAACGTAAAACCAATATAGAATTCGAGTTTTTCGTGATCAACTCTCTTTAATCAATCTTATATAAAAAGACAAATGTATTCTACTTCCCGCTTTCATTAGTTTTCGACTAAACAGTGAATACTGGATCCACTACTAAGCTGAAAATTTAGTCACTGGACTCTTCTCTACTGAAAATAATCAGCATGAAACATTCAATAACAATTCATGATGAGTGTAAATATTCAACGAAACTGAATCGCAGCTCATCTTAATCAATATCCGATTCTTCTGGAAACGACCATTCAACTGATATAGGAAAGTAGAAATCTGAAAACTAGGTGTAGGATATCATTGTTCGCGAGTGGTTGAAATTGAGACGTTAAACTAAGTAGCAAATGGCTTGTTTGGAAAACAAGTTGTCATGTTTCAATGAAGTATCAAAAATAATGTTGAATACTCATTCTTTTGTTTTTATTGACGTTCAAACGAAAAGCTACGGCAAATTTTTGAAAGTAAAACCACAATTTATAATATTATTGCTTAAAAATATCATATAATTTTTCTATGCGAGCAATAAATTACAAAAACAAAAGTTCACACGTATTTATGCCTGTCTTGCAAACTTATCTTGAAAGTAAATATCTTTACTTGAGCAATAATATCTCGACAAGTTCAATTATTTGGTATAATTCACATCAGATAAACACTAGAACAGTAACTGCCGAATGCAAAACAATTCACTTGAACTTGACAATTTGAATTAGAATAAAATAAGAGAAAGAGAAGTCCTAGAATGTCACTTCCGATCTTGAACACATTGTGCTTACGTGGTATTATTACAAATCTCTGCCAGACTCCCATTACCAGCCATCGTATGAACAGCAATTTCAACATTTTATCTAGCTGACCCTTAGAAGATGATCTTCAGTAAATTCATATGTTTTGTTATATCATTGAAGGAAAATGAAATTATGCAATTAAAAAGATGGACACTGGTGTTCTCATAAAAAATCAACAACGAACAAACTGAACAAGGTACTATAGAGTCGCGCAAGAAATCGCAGAATAACTGTCAACATGTATAGAAAGAATGCTAGATCGACTAACCTGTAGTAGAAGTATCATCGAGATCATTTGTTGAATAAACACGTAATTCAATATCATCAATGGCTACGTCATTTCCATCACTTTCAACATCGTTTGAAATCATCAACAATACGACTGAACTATGTGTCGTTTCGAATGGAATACCATATTTTGACCAGCTCATATTGTAGCATGCTGGCACATCACCAGTACCTTTTTTTGCAATTACATTCCCACTTTCGTTAATAGCTCTAACTTCAAAACGGATATTTGGTTTACTCAAGCATTTTTCCTTTCTGACAACATTTGCGACATAGGCAGAAAATTCATAAAGTCGACCAATATGAAGATCGTCTGTTTTATAGTTGAAAATCTGAGGGTCAATTCTCTGCACATTTACCAAAAACATGTATCCATCATTATCATTGGTCGTATAATCTGATGCGTTACCATGCCATATATTAAAGGGATCAGGAACTTCATTCACAAAAGCAAACATACCGTCATTTACGTCAAAAGTAAAGCTTTGGTTATGACTTGTAGTGAAATTATAATCAGCGGGTGTTTTATTGGAAAACGTATCAGAGCCATTTTCAAATGTGATCAAGAAAACTGTTGTGAAATTTACAGCATCGTTGTCAGGACATAAATCAACAGATTCTATGAAAATACAGAATGAACTTATTTGCAACCTAAGTAAAGGTAAAATCAACAGAATTTTGAAGCCTCAAAGAGAAAAAGAGTAAAAAGACAAAAGTTAGATGACTATGCTATCGTACGTTTTCCCTCTTGGACTAATTATTTGCATACAAACCTCAACAACGATCTCTAACATAAATTCTAAGATCACTCTTACAATGATGTTCTGAAACGTTTCTTATAGTAACTCTTAAGCAAATAAAAACTCTGGTTGATTGGAAATGATTTTATCTTTTCTCTAGGTGTCTTCAATGCCTTGTAAATGCACCCAGACTCTGTTATTTTACTGATAATGAGGTCAATACTGTCTTATGGGTCTTAAAAAAGCACACTCACGCATAGACAGTACACCAGCTGCCCACGGAAAAGCAATGGCTTGCCTTGCAAAAGGAAGCGATTACTGTCGCGCATATAATATAGTGGTCGCTTCTAGTTATAGTTTCACTATATACATATCAGATAGCTGTCTGTAACGAAGTCTGCAAGATAGATTCTAATTACATGTTTGGAGTCAGAAATACAAACTAAAATTAGATGGCAATCCTTCGTTGCTCAGACTGTCATGATTAATCAGCTTCTGAAACAATTATGTAATGGTAGGAAAAAGTAAAGAAATAGAAATTAGCGATTACAATCGTTTTTGCTACGATGAAACAATTTTTGTTAACAAGAAAAATAATTTTTCACAATACATTTACCTGAAACTCTAAGAATGATTAGTAGAATAATTAATTGTGTACAAACAATGTCTTTTAAAGACATTACTTCGTTTTCGTATGAAAATGCTTATGGTATTGTTTGCTTTCTGAACGAGTATTTTTGGCTTAATGTCACAGCACACGTAAATCAGGAAACAGTTAGGAGTTTTTTTTTAGAAATCTGAAACTGTTGCCTCTGCATGATCACTTGCTAAATACACATAACTTCACAGCAGATTAAGTTTAACCAAAAACTTTTTTTATTTTTGAAGTAATTTTCGCACGAGTTTCGCTGATAAATTTTCAAATTCCAGTTGCAATCGAATTTAAATCAGAACTTCTAAGTATGGTATTACAAATAAAAATTTCTCGCGAACATGATAAAACACAGTTTTCTCTAAATCGGCGAACTTTATTCCACTCTATTGTTTCTGTTTGTCACAGAGAAAGAACAATGATGGGAAATAAAGAACGTGTCTCTAAAAAAGTCACTAAAAATAAAGAGAATTCAATATCAATTTAGAAATGACAATATGTTATTGTTAACATTTACTAAAGAATATTTGCTGTCTATTCCAAAACTACTAGTTTGTTACTCTTTTTCATAAATGAAGTTGAAACGATGTAATTACAATTGATCGAACAATATGGTTATTTTGTATAGTTGTTGTTTTATAAGTTCACCTTTTCCGAATCCATAATCATTGTGTCATGATTCAAAATAAAAAGAGAAATTTCTACACAGGTGATTCAATCATCAACGAACTCTATTCTTCGACTTTTCAAAATCATATCATTACTGTGAGAAAGTTGTATTGAATTATTTTTGAGTAGAAATCTATCGTCAAAAATAAACGATATGAGACAAAGCTCTTTTTCATGAAAAGACATATTTTCATTGCTGACTCGACCGTTGAGCTTGTGACATGCAACTAATCAAGCAAAACAAACTTTTAATTATTATTTAGAAATATATTTTTTGTATCACTGATGAATCTAATAATGATAAAAATATTTTACTCATGGCTGAGGTATTTTAGTCATGCTGAATAGGGGGTGACCCTTTATCTTTATTAAATAAAGCAAAAATAAAGGAATAAATGATTTTGTGTTTTCAAGCGATAATCGAGTCGAAAGTATTCTAGAATTGTAGAACTCGTGTTTGGGAAAATTCTTATCATTGAATCGATGTCCTTTGACTGAAAACCGGGACTTCTGAAGTGAAATCGACTTGTGTTGTTTTACTAGTACTTAGGGGATTNATTAAATAAAGCAAAAATAAAGGAATAAATGATTTTGTGTTTTCAAGCGATAATCGAGTCGAAAGTATTCTAGAATTGTAGAACTCGAGTTTGGGAAAATTCTTATCATTGAATCGATGTCCTTTGACTGAAAACCGGGACTTCTGAAGTGAAATCGACTTGTGTTGTTTTACTAGTATTTAGGGGATTTTAGTTAGAAAAATGGAGGTTAAATTAAAACTAATACCATATTCTGAATCAGTAATAAAAACGGAGGAAACCTATGCGACTTTCGAATATACTTTAGATAGTTATGATTTTATCTAAAAATTCACCCCGACTCCCCTCAGAGTTCCAGAACGCGAATCTCAGGAAAAATTGAATTTGATGAGCACCAACAAGCACTTAACTCGTAAAATACTAGTAGAGCGCAAATTGGAGTCTGTGTAATCTATTAAAAGGAGATTTTCGTAAGGTCTACGTTTTGATCGAGAAACCCTGAGGGGGAATAGGGGTGAATTTTTTGATAAAATCATAACTATCTAAAGTATATTCGAAAGTCACATAGGTTTGCTTCGTTTTTATTGCTGACTCAGAATACGGTATTAGTTTTAATTTAACCTCCATTTTTCTAACTAAAATCCCCTAAGTACTAGTAAAACAACACAAGTCGATTTCACTTCAGAAGTCCCGGTTTTCAGTCAAAGGACATCGATTCAATGATAAGAATTTTCCCAAACACGAGTTCTACAATTCTAGATTACTTTCGACTCGATTATCGCTTGAAAACACAAAATCATTTATTCCTTTATTTTTGCTTTATTTAATAAAGATAAATGATTCATTTATCTTTATTTTCTAAAGATAAAGGATCGAAAAAAAAATTATCATTTATTTTTTAAAGATAAATGATTCATTTACCTTTATTTAGTAAAGCAACACTAAATGATCACCCCTAATGCTGAACATACTACGATAATAACGAAAAGAATTAGAAATAACAGCATACGAGTACAATGGTTCATGTGGTAACAAAAATCAGTTGCAATCGTTTTCGAAATTAAATTACCCCTACAACAATAAATGAGTCAAGCTATAAGATTTGCATTTTTTAGCTTATTTTTGTACGACCGATATTTTTAACGGCTCTCATTAAATCAGAAATGTTACTTGATGGATAACAGCTCTATGAGTAGGGTCCCATTTCCCAAAAATGTAGATTTGATTGAGGGAGCTGCAATTTGCGGAAAATACCGAGCAATGAATCATGCCTGGGAAAATCCAACATGTTTTTTCCTTCCTGTAAATATACCAGAGTACAAATCGTCAAGCGAATACACCATATACAGCGCACATGTTTCTTATTTGGAAGCGTTTATTCAAAGCGAAACAATAGCTTGTCTTGTCTTGTATTATAATTATTATTAGTATTTTAGAAGCTTCTTATTCTAAATTATAAGATGCAACGAAGAACAATGATTTTTGGTTACTCGATTATGAACAAGAGAATAAAGCTAATGAATGAATCACATAGGTTAGTAAGAAAAAAACGAATATTATTTTAGCTGAAATCGATCCTCTTGCTTTGTTTCATTAAGTAAATCTCAAACGACTTTTGAAGATCTTCCAAATGAAATTTTTTATGAAATTTTCGATTATCTTGATGCTATTCATTTGTTCCGATCATTTTCCAACCTCAATACACGTGTACAAAATCTTCTTGGCAATTCAAGTCTTCTTCTAAAGGTTAATATTTCATCTATGTCGAAATCAAATTTTGAAGACTATAAGAAAGATATTATTCTGCCGTGTAAACATCGAATTATATCAGTAAATATATCGAACCCATTTGTTGTCGACATTATGTTTCGCCCAGTACGTCTTGCATCACAATTGCCTAGATTAAAAACAATGATTTTGGATAATATCAAATCAAAATATCTTTGCAATATTCTCAAGCATTTAGCGTCTCTACGTAATCTATCATCATTAGTTTTAATACCGATTGATCATTATCGAAATACAGATGAAATCTATCAATGTATATTTCGTTTGCCAGTGTTAAAATATTGCAAAATATCATTGAAGACACATTATCGCGATGATTTACTACCTATTGCAACAAATATAACAAGTTCTATTGAACATCTTGTTATTCAACATAGCTTTTATCTTAAAGATCTCAATGCTCTGCTGTCGTACGTTCCACACGTTCGTCGTTTAAAATTCCATTCATTCCATGGAAGTCATAGTAATGAACAAGAGATATTTTCATGTTCTTCTTCAAAGTTAACACATCTATCGATAAATCTAAAAAGTGTTTCCTTTGATCAGTTTGAATTGATGACTCAAACATTATTTCGTCAACTTGATATTATACATATATCGGTAGACGACGATCGAACATATCTTGATGCAAAACGATGGGAAAATTTGATTCTATCTTTTATGCCACGATTACGAGTTTTTGATTTTCAACATATTGACGTTATAAAAAATATCGCTGTTGACATTCAATCAATACATGAGCCTCTATTAAAACAGTTTGAATCTTCATTTTGGTCTCAACGAAAATGGTTCTTTCACTATCAATTTTACTCTGAGAACTGTCGAAAAAAAGTGATTTTACATTCAGTCAATCTTTATAGGTAAGAAACGAATATTTTGCTTCGATATTGAAGATTTCCGATCATTTTTAATTTGAAGGCGAAAACAATACACAATTAATAGGCAATTGACTGAATATGTGCCTCCGCGTTATCGAAAAACTAATATGGATGCTGTTAATCATGTTGAAATTGAAGGTGAAAAAGCGATTATGAAATGTGTAAATTATTTTCGGAATGCGACAAAATTGACTCTTTCGCAATGTTTTGGTGAAAGTAATTTTTGGCTTCGAATCAATCTCAAGCCGATACTTCCTGTAAAACGGTTAACTACACTAGTAATCAATTGTGACTATTTTCGTCTTGATCAATTGATTGAATTATTACGTCTTGCGCCTCATGTTCATACATTGACTATGAATGTTAACTCAATCAAATATTCGAATCGTAGTTCATTTCAACAGAATGAAGCGTTTCAATTCGTATCGAAGACGAATAACATTACAAATGTGACTATTAAAGAAAGATGCGCATCAGCAAACAGTCAACTATATATTGATCTATGCCCTCGAATGCAACATCTGGCAATAGAGGGTTATTATAGACATGCTGTATCGAACATACAATCTATACTAAGGGAAACTAAAACTAATATTCAACAATTATGTTCGATATGTATAACAAACGTGCGCAAATCAATAATCACAGCATTGAAAACTATGATCGAATCAGAAAAAATACTTGATAACTACTCGATGAAATTGATTGATTATGATTTATATCTTTGGTGGTAGTTATTTTTATTTTTATTTCAAATTTGCAGAGTTTTTATCAGATTGACATTGTAAATCATTCTTTATTTTAATAAAGAAACTGAAGGGTTCAGTTGCGCGTGTAGGTTCATTCACTTTAAGCCACATCCAAACCCTATTCATAACGGTATAAGCTCATAGAAGTATGATGTTGTGTCTGAGAAAAGAAAGAAATCTGCTGCTCTCTCATCCATACACTCGTGATTGTCAATAAAGGAATAGACAAGAGTTTAGGCCGAAAGATAAAATCCTATTGATAATTGTATAAGCTTGCAAGAGTGTGAGGATATATCTGATAAAATAAGAAGTCAAATCGCGGGGCTCTCATAGGATTACTTATGCTTGTCAATAGACGGGCAAAGAAGGGTTTTTATCGAACTCTTAAGATCAGCACTAGTTAAGCTGCGCTGTTCCTCTCGATATACATACACATACACAAAATAACAACAAGCAAAAACAAAATCATGCAAAAGCTGTTGTTTACATTCGCTCTCATAACCATCCTCATCAGTGTTCAGGTGGCTCATGGAAAGGGATTCTGGTACGGTGTCACCGAAGCCGGTGTAGACGACGATAGCGAAGAGCTAGGCAAGCGTGAATGTATCTATAACGGATGTAAATGCAAGCTTGGCACGCCTCAAAATCAATATTGCCTAGGCGATAATGTTTACGAATGCAATCCAAATGGTGGCTGCTGCAAATATGGATATAGAGAGTCGTGCCATCAATGCGGCAAACTCAAATGTTGAAGTGCTTTTTAATTCCTCTAAAATCCCAGCCTTAAAGTGAATTTCATGAATTTTACCTATTCTAATAAATTATCTCAAATATATGATTAAAATAAAGCTTTCTTTTGGATACGAGGCATTCAGAAACAGGGTTGTGTAGGGCGGAATGTTTATATGAATGTTAGCATGCATAGATGGAAGTAAATATGGATGTAGTTGCGGAGGAGCCACTGACACCCGTGAGCCTTGAGGTTCGCTTGCATTTGCACGGAATATTGTTTCTTTGACGCACATAATGGGCATTTAAATGATAAAACAGATTTGTCATAAATTACACTTGTTTCAATAAAAAAATAGCAAGTTGCTACATCGAAGCGGAAGATTATTATCATTACGGAAAGTTGAAAATTCTTCAACGGTGCAAAAAATTGTCTTGAATCCGATTTACGAAGCCAAATTTCCATTTTTTTCAAGAAAAAAAACTACCAGAAACTAACCAGCATAAAATCTGCATCTGATGAACTATAAGGATCTCTTAGTTTGCAAAAACAGAATTTTGAATCAGAAGTGTACGGTGCATCGAAGGAAAAGCAAATAGATTCCAACATTTGAAGTGTCTTGGCATTATTGACTTTGTTTTTCTCGATAAGTATTCATTTTTCGAGTTGTTCTTTCAAAAATCTCTTGATATTCGTTGAGCTTTATTCAAGATCACTTGCTGAACATTGATCAAGAGATACTCAAGCGATTGAAGTTGCACGACAGACATTCGATCATATTATACAATGAAACGATTCATCAGATGATAAATCATGTAATTTGCTCATCGTTATTGACAAAAAAATTAATATTTATTCTGACGTTGGAAATCCAATTAAGTAAATTATTTTTGCTTCTTAAGGTATATCAGTAATAGAAAGTTCTATTATAGGACTCTATTATGAGAAACGATGAAGTGAAGAGAGTAAGCAACAAATAATAGGCAAGTTTGCACATGATAGGATGAAAATAGTGAACCAGTCAATATATATTTGGTGCTATTTAGCTAGACTAATGACATTTCTCAATAATATCTCACGATCCTTTACCGTGCCCCGAAAAAACTATTTACCTGCCCGAACTCGTGTAAATCTAAACTTTCCCCGCCCCGCACGTGGGTTCCAACCCATGGATCGCACATCTCTGATACCCGTGTTCATATTCGCATATGCTGAATTATAATCACTTCCTCGGAGTATTAACTGTGTTGTCTATGGAGAGTGATGAAAATGTGAAGACCTGCAGCCAACAAATACCGCGCTTTTGATTCTTTTCAATTGAATATTTCCTGCGTAAATTAAACATAGTTTTGTGAAGGAGACCAACTGAAAATCTTGATGTCAACCAAATTTTTTAACTGTTGTTTGATTGTTTATCTGCTGCTGACAACAACCTTGGACAACAAGATTAAATCTATCGATAACCATATGAACCGAGCGACTACTTGGATTAGGCATTTCTAGAAGGCTCATTTATTAGCGGGGATTTATTGAGGTCTATCCAATATCATGATATTTTATCATAGGTATACTCATACCCTTATACCCTCAATCATTATCAGAAAGTATCTATGCTTATAGTTCAGATGATGCGACTGATCTATTTTATTTATCTATGCTTCACGTATTATTTCGAGCAATATTGGATTTTACGATTGTCCATATAAAAATCTAATATTTGAATGTTCAAATGAAACGAATATCTATTTTGTGTCGTCGTTCGTTTTCTGCTGATGAAGAACTGCTTCAATTTCCTGAATATAAAGAGTGTGATGATTATAATTAAATAGTATTACAGTGAGCTTTCAAAAGAATTACTGGGCGAAGAATTTCTTTGAGCTTTTCATAGGCAACATCAAGTTGGTCATTTTCGATAATGTGATCATAAATGCCGGGCTCTTTGCTGAATTTTATTGATTCTTTGGCCTCTTGTAAACGGTTTTCTCTAGCAGTTTCTGTGTCTGTGTTTCTATCACGTAGACGTTGGCTTAACACCTCATAGCTCGGAGGATTGATGCAGATAAATAGTGCGTTGTGATCAGTTTCTCGAATATTCTTCACAGCTATTTTATCGACAATGCGCAACCAGATGCAACCTGACGTTGCTACATTCTTGAAAGTTGCCTTGCTGGTGTATAAGTATTCATAAATATAGAATTACCGTTTTCTTATTGAAACGTTCTGTTACCTAGTACCATACAGGTTCGACGAGAATTCACTCCATTCTACGAATTCCTCATTAGCAATCATTGCTTCCATTTTCGATCGTTGAATAAAATGATATTCTATATGAACAAGATACATAATTATTTAACGCACGGTGTATTGTTATCAAGACTTACCTCGGCCATTGCGTTCGTCAGAACGAGGCTTCCGAGTTGTATCTATAAAGATATTCTAGCAATGATTAGTGGCACGTGTTATAGAAAGAAAAACAAGATATAGATACGTGAGATGGTAAACGCAAAGGTAGTCGGATATTCGCCGAGCAGCTTTTGAGACTAGTGTACTCTTGCCAGAGCTATAGCAAAATGAAGAAATGCACTGGATGCACTTCTGTATCGCTGTTGCATAAACTTACCCACCCGGACCCGATATGACAACAGTACGGGGCTGTTTTAGTGTTGTCAGAGCCATATGAAAAAGAACGTGTGCAAGCCTTTTCTAAAAAATGTAAACAATGTAGGAAAGAATGAGTGTTAGGAAGATTTTAAATTCTTATATTGAGAACGAGTATGACAGAATGACGAGTGTTGGTGCACGTCTTCTAGTTATTCATAACGACTTCCTCTAACTCGTAAATACACTCACATTCTTAAGTGTTTAAGTACTTTATTAGAATATGAGTTGCCTAATTCGAATTATAATATATGTAAATGAGCCTCACAGTGCATAAGATGAATTCGAAAATAAATATAAAACAACATGCCAGTACTTGTGAATGGCAGAAAGTCAGCAAGAAACAATTTATCTGAATTATACAGTTATCCAGTTGTTGCATAGGTTCCGCACGTTTTTTTTTGGTTCAACAACAAATTTATTTTTCAATAAAGATATATAAACATGAATCAGCAATATAATCGCCGTTGTTTTCAACAACATTCGCCCATATTTCTGGCAATAGTTCAATTCGATTTACTATGAAAACGCCGAAAGAAAAAAATGCCGAAAGAAAAAATGCCGAAAAGAATGTCGAAGGAAAAAACATCGAAATAAAAAAACGTCGAATGAAAAAAAATGTCGAATCAATGAAACATGTTGTTAGATGAAAAATATAAAATATGTATTTTATTTCATCAAAAAAAAGGGAACAATACGTTTATTGATCAGAACAGATGGTTGTACAAAATGAATCATTCGACATGTCCATATGTACGCCCTTAGAATAAAGTTTATGCTTTTTTCGCGATGGATATTGTTAAGTTATCCGACAATTGCTCAACGCCCACGTCGTTGTTGTTGTAAAATGCTATACGGGTATCAATACGTTTTTAAATATCATTAGTAGAACTTGAAGTTGGTCGACGTTTAGCAGCTGTACTGATTTGCAGATATAAGTGCTGAAATCGGCTTTCTTCACTAGCAATGCATCTGATGAATGGGTCCAGTACAGGTGCTAAACGTCGATTAAGTTCAAGTTTTACTAATGGCATTTTAAAAAGCGTATCGATACTCTTACAGCACGTTACAATAACAACGACGTCGACATCGAGCAATTGTTGAATAACTAATCATTGCTCAGCGTGAAGACAACATAAACTTTGTATTAATCACGTACATCTGGACCCATCGAATGATTCATTTTCTTTATAGCTAGTGGTACTGACTGATGAACTTTTTTCCTTCTTTTCAATGAAATAGAATACATATTTTATATTTTTCATCTAACAACATGTTTCATTGATTCGACATTTTTTTTCATTCGACGTTTTTTTATTTCGATGTTTTTTCCTTCGACATTTTTTTCGACATTTTTTCTTTCGGCATTTTTTTCTTTCGGCGTTTTCAATACATACCGTTCAATTCCACGTCTGCATAAACTAGGCGGTTTTGATTCAAAAACGGCAGCCAGGTTGGATTTGAGCTCATCAAAGTCTTCGTAGTGTTTATTGCACAAATAGCTACGAAGAGATACGAACAGATGATAATCGGTTGGTGAGAGGTCTGGTGGCCACGGCGGGTGTAGAAGAGCTTCCCATCCTAATTACGTAATACGCAGGACAGATCAAGGTCAATATCGATGTTTGTTTGGCCTTGAGAAAACAGAAATAAATGTATATATAACGAAAAGAGAATATCTTTGTTGAAAAATAAATTTGTTGTTGGACCAAAAAACTAAAACATGTAGAACTTATGCGCCAACCGGATATAAGTGAGGTACAATTTTCTTCTAGCTGGTTTGCTACAAGCAACATCTGGGATGCTACAGGCATCAGGTTAGGCGGACATGAGTTGCCGAATTTCAATATCGAATTGAGATTCATGCAAGCTCAGAAGACAATGAAAAGATAAAATACAACTATAAATGAAGCGTTTTTATGCACAGAAAAATATTCGACAACATAACTAGCCCTTTATTTTCAGTGTCACGACGTGGGGATGGTGTGCGCCCTCCCCCACAGAGCTGCGACCAATGCTCGTCTATGTGTACATAGCACTTTCTATCCTTCGTTAATATTTGAGTACAGTATGTGAAGTAACAAATATATTTCAGTCACAGTCTTAGGCAATCTTTGTTGCATCTCTGGTAAAGCTTGTAGCATTTTAGATGTTGCTTGTAGCACACCAGCTTTAAGAAAGTCCCATCTCATTAATAAGTTTATAAATGTCACAATTTTTCTGCAAAAGATAGGTGCTGGTTAGAGCCCGTCGGGTCCAATAATTTTTCAATTCGGACCCGGAAAAAGAAATACGTGTGGTTTCATCATTTTTAAAGATATTGCACTGTTCCAACATGTATCTTGTAGAGAAATGATTCCTCTATCAGCTCATGTATTTAGAAACATACAATAATTTTGGGCGTCCCAAATTTTCTTATTACAAGCTTCCGGGTCCACATTTTCCGGGTCCAACCGGGTCCAAACTTGGACCCGGAAGTTTGTAATAAGAAAATTTTGGACGCCCAAAATTATTGTATGTTTCTAAATACATGAGCTGATAGAGGAATCATTTCTCTACAAGATACATGTTGGAACAGTGCAATATCTTTAAAAATGATGAAACCACACGTATTTCTTTTTCCGGGTCCGAATTGAAAAATTATTGGACCCGACGGGGTCTAGTGCTGGTATGTTTTTTCATGAAAAAGCTCATTTACATTCGTATTTGAATTAGGCAGCTACTCTATAAGGATCAAATATTCGGTTCTGAATCATGCGTGGCATATATTCTTGAACATAAATATTTAATAGACCAATATCTAACTTAAAAAAGCAACATGCAGAATTCTATTTACGTACCGATCTCTCTATTAACTTGGTAATTTCTTATCACTGTCTTATATGTTGTGTATAAAAATACTCATTGTATCATTGTTTTGGCGAGCGTCAAGAAAGAAAGGCTTACCTTCATATATGCTACGATCGAACACATAATATGTTTTTGCAAGCAGTTTAGTCATATCAAAATGCTGATAAGCGAGACAGACAGTAAACATTTTCAACTGATATAATCAGTGTTTGTTTTCTATATTTATGAGTCAAACAGATGTAACAATATATCTACTATACATACCAGCAAGACAGAATGCACATAAACAGTAGACAACGCTTAGAGCAAAGAACAACAAATATTTAAGTGTTTTTGGCGTCTTTCTTCCTGTGTTTGATTGTCTACATACTCCAAGGTATCCACTAATAGGCATATTTTCTCTTTGTATTAAAATTAAAACGTATAAATATGCTGTTGCCGTTTGGCTTCACAGCTAACAAGCATATGGATTACTATACTTAGCTTAAATTCACCGAAACCGAGTTTCTTCATATTATGATTTTAAACGTTCTCTCCTATTGATATTTTTATTGGAATACATCACTCTCTTGCATAATAGTCGAATTCTGCTTTTTTGTGCCTTTTTTTCTATAGTTACTATTTATAGCCTCTCTTTCTTGATCCAATGTATTCACACGTTACAGAACAAGCAGATCTATGTTTGCTTGTTTGTTTCTGCAAATATGAGCATTTTAAATTGAGCACTGACCAGTATAGTCTAATAACATTTAAGAACTTTATCTGTTTAGTCTGCCCGGAATACACTGATGGCGTATGATTCAACACCAACGCAGCTAACCATAGGGCTAGCTTTGATTAGTGTTGGTCTTATTGGTACTATTTATTTGTAAGTACAGAAGTAATACGCGCAGCGTATCGAGTATTTGTGTTAAGAAGATTCTTTACTTTTGGAAAAGAAGCAACTATTAATTCGAATTAAAATCATGAGCTCTTCATTTTACTATTTTAAGTTAATATTAGATAAGCTATAATGAAAAATTCAAAAAAAAACATATTATATCAAATTTCTATTCCATTTCGTTTACTTTATTCATAGCTTCATCGAGCAAGCTGACAAAAGTTTGATAATTTAAAAAGCAATGCATTTCACCGCACATAATTGCAGTTTGTGTCAGCTGCTATTGAAACTATCAATAAGTATTATTTCGTTTCTGGAAAAAAACAAAGAACTGAAGACAAAGAAGCTTAGTTCTTTGATAGAAACCTGTATTGTAAAAATTCAAGATTTCATGATGAGAACACCCCAATAGAACAATATAAGCATGACAAGTAATAAACAGAGTTTCTCCTGCTTAAAATGAGTCTTTTAACACATCACACTATTCAGATTTGCTATACAAATGATTATAATTCGATATTTCATTTATAGTTATTTGACACGCAATCACAAATACTGGCAGAAACGAGGTGTTCCAGGTCCGCAGCCATGGCCATTTTTCGGCACTTATCTCAAGCAATTTTTTGTACCGTTTCTTGAGACAGAAATTGCAATGGTACAATCAATATGGCAAAATCTATGGGTGAATTTTTTACACCAACGGTTTTTCTTAACTCCATTGTGCATTTGTGTTTGTTTTTTTATTTAGAATTTACGATGGTTCAAAACCTGGTAATCATATTTGAGTCAAGTACTCTATCTGTGCGTGTGTTAATAAGATTCCTCATTTCTAGGCATCATCGTTGGCGACCCCGATTTGATCAAACAAATCATGGTGAAAGATTTTCATATTTTTACGAACCGTCGCCCAGTTAAAACTACTCATCCTATCATGAGTAAATTTTTATCTTCTCTAGTTGGAGAAGAGTGGAAACGTGTTCGCTCAATAGTGACGCCCACGTTTACTAGTAGTAAAATGAAGAATTTGTTCCATATAATGAAAAATTCCTCGAATGATATGCTAGAAAAATTGGAAAAAGCGGCAGCAGAAGAAAATAGGGAAATCGATCTGAAGAAGCTTTACGGTGGCTATACAATGAACGTGATTGCCAAGTGTGCATTTGCAACAGAAGCCGATTCCGAGTTTGAAAATAATGCAACACAACTATTCACATTTCCCTTTTGGCGGAAATTTCTCGATTACACCGTTCCAATGTGGTGGTTAGATTTCATTAAATTCACCGTTCTGCCACAGGGTGCAATGGATTTTTTTCGTTCGATTACTGTTGGTCTTATCAACCAACGCGTGAGCACTAATCAACAATATAGAGAGCACTATCATGACTTTTTAGAATTGCTAATGAATGCGAAAAGGCTCGGCTCGGGAGAAATATCAAAGTCTATCAAAGACATTGACGATGCTTCGTTCCGAAAAGAAACTGATGACGAGAAAACACTGAATCAAAACGCATTATCAGACACAACAGCGTATGACGGAAAGAAGAAGCTAGACGAAAATGAAATATTGGCGCAATGTGTTCTGTTTTTTTCTGTTGGTTTCGAAACATCATCGCAATTGTTGGCCTATTGTACCTACTGTTTGGCACTTAATCCTGACTGTCAAGAAACGTTGCATAATGAGATTGTAGAAACTATCAACAGCAATCACGGAGAGTTTAACTACAATATGGTGCCGAAAATGATCTACTTGGATGCGATCATATCCGAGACACTGCGCCTCTACAATCCGGTACTACGAATGGAACGGCAGGCATCCGAAAATTATACTTTGGGCAGTACGGGCATTATTATAGAAAAAGGAATGATTGTTGGTATCCCTGTGTGGGCACTCCATCATGATCCTCAGTACTATCCGGAGCCTGATTTATTCAAACCGGAACGATTTTTAGCTGGAAATCGAGAACGCCTTGTGCCCTATACATATTTGCCGTTTGGTACTGGACCGAGAAATTGTATCGGAGCACGTTTTGCTTTGTTAGAAACGAAAATAGCCCTAATAAAAGTTGTTTCAAAATATCGTTTCGTTGAATCAAAAACAACTAGAATTCCACTTCGATTTTTGCCTGTTGGTCGACCACTCTTACGTTGCGAACATATAGCCACTGGCGTCGAAAAAAGATTATGATAAAAAAATCTATGCAACAAATTTTTTGTTCTTAGCTATCATGTTTGTTGCATAAACTCCGTTGAATTACGAATAAATGAAAAGAATAAACCTTCATCTAAAACCAATCAAACACTAGAGCCGTTCATAGTTTTAGGAGCAATTGTTCTTCATTTACTAGTACAAGAATTACTTGTTATCCCTAAAATTCAATTTTTTCGGTCAATTCATTACACCCAAAAAAAAAAGATTTTATCTGCGAATCCATTTGAAACGTAGCAGGAATAAAAATGATTCTATATACCATGAACACAAATCTGTTATGCTTCGAAAATGACATGCTCATATTATTGTTTTATGCATTCTACCTGCTCATATATTCGAACAAGTTATGTTTCGCAAGTATATTTTTATTAGCGAAAACCAGAGCTTGAAATTGCTTCTCATATATTTTAAATTACTGACAGGGAGCCTCTACCTGCTGTGATGTGCCTTCTCGTCAAAGTTTCTAGGTTCCACTAAAATTGAAATAAAGTAATACAAACATTTATTCATTGAACATACAAAAAATCGTGGAGTCATATTCTTACAATAATAGAACACCATTCTTTTGCATAGAAACCAAATTTGAATCATAATGCATACTTTCATACATTAGTCAACGGTAGCTACTGGAAAGGCATAGTTCTCAGCTAATAAAATACTGAGAAACATACATAGAGTTAGTCCGTAGCTATCAGGATGGAGCAAGAATCCCCGACAGAACTAGCAGAAATCTGATCACATCGCGGTTAGGAAAAACCTGGAACTCCCTGTCGTAGCAAGATCTCTCGAAGGTATTTCCGTGGCTAATGCACAACACAGCAGCGGTAATTAGAGGACTACAACTCCACCTCACCGTCTATGAACTGCCATCCTGAAATACACAAATCAAGCTATTCTTCGCTTCCAAATGATTTTCAATAATTTATCATCTACAGAAAAGTCTTTAAACATCTGCCTCATTCAGATTAAAGAAATATGTTTCAACAACCTTTTCAAGGGTAGGCATAGATTGAGAAAGACTTTGTGAAGAGTGTTTTTCATGGAATCTAAGTTGTTAATTTTATAATTCGTCAACACGTAGGCGTTGTCTGAAAGACATCTTTCGATGCCTTAGAGAGTATGCTTGGTCATTGTTTCATCTACTGTAGACGGAAGAGTTGCTGTGAGTGAAACAATTTCGTTGTTTGTAGAACTAAATGTCGTACCACACACACATCCACACACCCTCACACACCCTCGAGTAATTCTAACGTTAGATGACGCTAGATCACGGCCAATGAAAAAATATAGTAATTCAAAAGAAATTTTTAGTCGCATTTAAAATAGTTACTCAAATGAATATTTATATTCAAATAGAATTTTCTAGAACTAAAATATAATTGGTAATTCAATGGCAAAAGTTGTTAACCAACTATATTCAATTATATAACCGGAATGACTCATATAAGCGGACTTTCTCGTCAAGAAAAAAAGAGGGCACTTTTTTACTCGGTGTACCCGGCATTGTATTTGTTGATTTATTTGAAGCTAAATAAAATAGGATGAGTTTTTTGTCGAGAATTTCTTCGCGAAGTCTCTGTCCAAGTTTAAATTCATTAAAGTCCAATGTAAGCTTATTATTTATGAGATTGAACGCTCACATAACATATTTTAGGTTCTATCACGTTCGCTAGCAGTACAAACTCCTCAATCACGTAACACAGATGCTAAACACAGTACTGGCGCTCGAGTACGAGGGAAAACATTTTTCGTTTTCAATTTTTGTCTTATCTTTCATATTAGGTTGCTTCAAATTATAAAATTATCGATCATGAATATGATGCTGTCGTAGTCGGAGCTGGTGGTGCTGGTCTTCGTGCCGCCTACGGTTTATCAACAGCTGGTTTTAAAACAGCTGTTATTAGTAAATTATTTCCAACACGTAGTCATACAGTTGCTGCTCAAGTTCGTAAACATTTTACGTCGATCGAATTGATGATCATAAAGGATTTTGATTTTTCCAGGGTGGTATTAATGCTGCTCTTGGCAACATGGAAAATGACGATTGGCGATGGCACATGTATGATACAGTTAAAGGTTCCGATTGGCTCGGTGATCAAGATGCGATACATTATATGGCTGAAGAAGCTCCACGTGCTGTTGTTGAAGTATTTGTTTTGAAAAAAAATATATTATTTTTTTTTATTAAATTAATTTTTTTCTTCTCATCTGTTGTCAAGCTTGAAAATATTGGTATGCCATTCAGTCGAACACCTGACGGAAAAATTTTACAACGTGCCTTTGGTGGTCAATCGTATGATTTTGGTAGAGGTGGTCAAGCACGTCGTTGCTGTTGTGTAGCTGATCGTACAGGCCATGCTATGTTACATACACTCTATGGCCAAGTAAATATATCAAATTTTTATTGATGATGAGACTGGATCATAATTTGTCCTTAAAGTACATTCTATGACCTTTGAACTGAAGTTTCAGATATTTGTTAGACTAGAATTATATTTGTATTTTTCCTTGTATTTATTTAGTCGCTTAAATACAATACCGAATATTTCATTGAATATTTTGCACTTGATTTATTCATGAATAAAGATAATACACAATGTATTGGTGTTGTTGCAATGAATCTTGAAGATGGTAGTATTCATCGTTTCCATGCTAATAATACAGTTATAGCTACTGGGTATGAATGCAAATAATGTTTTTTGAAATAATATTGCATGATTTGCCCTATTTAGAGGTTATGGTCGTACATTTTTTTCATGTACATCAGCTCACACATGTACAGGTGATGGTAATGCAATGTTTACTCGTGCTGGCCTTAAAAATCAAGATTTAGAATTCGTTCAATTTCATCCAACTGGCAAGTTAATTTTATAATATTTCTCATTCTATTCTAAATAAATATTTCTTCTAGGTATTTATGGTGCAGGTTGTCTCATTACAGAAGGTTCTCGTGGTGAAGGTGGTTTTCTTGTCAATAGCAAAGGTGAACGTTTCATGGAACGTTACGCACCAGTTGCTAAAGATCTTGCATCACGTGATGTCGTTTCACGAGCTATGACTATCGAAATTCGTGAAGGACGGTTCGTAATCTTTTTTTGTTTTGGTTTTCGTCTTCAATAACTTTCCTATCTATTTAATAGTGGTGTTGGCAAAGATAAAGATCATATCTATCTTCAATTAAATCATTTAGATCCAAAATTATTACATGAACGTTTACCGGGTATTAGTGAAACAGCTATGATCTTCTCCGGTGTTGATGTAACTAAACAACCCATACCTGTCTTACCAACTGTTCATTATAATATGGGTGGTATACCAACAAATTATAAGGGTCAAGTTATCCAAGAGAAAAATGGCAAAGATGTTATCGTCAAAGGTTTATATGCTGCAGGTGAAGCTGCATGTGCTAGCGTTCATGGCGCCAATCGTCTCGGAGCCAATTCTCTATTGGATCTGGTCGTTTTCGGACGAGCATGTGCCAAAACAATTACAGCTGAAAATAAACCCGGAGAAAAATTTGGAGAACTTCCATCGGTTTGTGCACAAGATGTATAACATATATTTATATTAATGTGAACTTTTGATTTTAGAATGCTGGCGAAGCTTCAATTGCTAATCTAGATAAATTACGAAATGCTAATGGGTCAATATCAACTGCCGAACTTCGCTTAAAGATGCAGAAGGTTTGTTTGTTTCTGAAAATCGATCTAGAAGAATTCGAGAGTATATTTTAGACTATGCAAGCACATGCTGCTGTATTCCGTGATGGTGAAACATTGAAGAAAGGTTGTAAGGCAATGGATGATGTCTTTCAACTACAAAAAGATCTCAACGTTAAAGATCGTGGTATCATTTGGAATACAGATTTAATTGAAACACTTGAACTACAAAATTTACTACTCAATGCCATGCAAACAATTTACGGTGCTGAAGCCCGAAAAGAAAGTCGAGGTGCACATGCCAGAGAAGATTTTCCCGTATGCGAAATCAATTTTTGTATAAATTATTATTAATATTTTTATTCAAATTTTTAGCATCGTGTTGATGAATATGATTATACAGATGTGGCAAAGAATCCAATAGCTAACCAAAAGAAGAAACCATTTGATGAACATTGGCGTAAACATACTTTATCATATACGGATCCTGAAACGGGCAAAACAACATTATCATACCGAGCAGTTATTGATACAACATTGGATCAAAGTCGTTGCTCATCAGTACCACCAAAACCACGTGTTTATTAAAGGGAACATCTAGAGCAATGAAAGAAGATCTGCGTACACAAAACTTTAGATTATCTTTCCCAACATTACTCTTTTCTGTCAATATTTTTTCTTCCCATTTTAAAGAAAATAGACAAAAAAAATTAGCTTATTGGTATACATCGTATTTAATATTATTTATCCTTTCTATTGTCTAGATCACAAATAAACAGCAACATTGTTTCTCGAGATTATTAAAAAAAGAGAGTATAATCGTCTGTTCACATCTTTATTTATTTAATTTTCAAAACTAGTTCTAAATAAAAAATAACAAGGCTAATTGCGTAGTCTTATTGTTCAAGAAGAAAAGAAAATTCTTTCTGTGGTTAAAATAAGAAAGAATCAAATGTAAAATCTAGTCAAGTCTGTAAATAATATGATTAATTAGGTAATCCTAATGTGGAATCATTGTATTTGATATGCCGTATGCACCAAATTGACTTGATGAATCTTCTGTACCAGCTGATAAATAAAAATAAAATTAATTTGATCGAAAAAAAATAACTATCATTTACTTAAATAAAATTGACTATCGTGACCAAACTGTTGTTGATTTGAGTCTGCATAATTTATTGCTGATGATGATCCACGAATAAGATTGTCGTAGGCCGGAGCATAATTATTAGTGTCAACATAGCTTCGTTGTTTTGTTGCAGTATCGGAATTATAGACGTTTGTATCGGTATTAAATACTGTTTCTTGTTGATTAACAAAAGAATGAGGTGGAGTCTAGATAAAAGATGAACGGAAATTTTCAAAGAAAACGAAAATTAAAGTACATACGAGATCAACAGTAATGCCAAGTTCTTTGATTTGTGCTAATAGTTGTTCAGTACTGAGTAAGACATTTCCATACGTTGCTGAATATTTATTTGGATCTTCAGGCCGAACACCTAATCGTTCAAATTGACGAACGACTCGAGGTTGTATTGGTTCGTATCTTGAACGTATGAAAGATCACAAAAATGTGAAAGTTTACAGATATGTTTATACATTACATTATAATGACATTTTTCGGTGGTGGTAAGCCTTTAGCTTCTTCGGCTCGTTGAACGATCACTTTACGTTTATGCATAGATTCATAGGGTATCCATCGTTCAATGATAATATCACGTGGTTTAGGTGGTAGTGGAGGTAATTTTTCTATGACGACTGTTCGTGGTGGTGGTGGTAGTGGAGGAAGTGTTTTCGTTACAACTTGTGCTAAACGAAGAAAATTGCTTCTTGTGCGAAAATCTTATGAAGTGAGTACTAACAAGTTAAGGAATCTGGGATTGGTGGTGGTCGTTCACGTAGAACAAGTGGCGATGGTGAACGAGCAGGTGCTGGACGTTGTCGAATGATCTGTCACGAACATGAAGATTTACTATTCTACTATAGGGATATTTCAACTTACAAGAGGAGGCTGTGGTGGAGGTTGAGGCGGTCGAACTTCACGAATGATCAGAGGTCCTTGTTCGACGGGCGGTGGTTGTAAAAATCGTATGATAATTTTTTGATTGTAAACAACTGGATTTGTCTGCAATGGTTTTCGTATAATTTGTGGTTGTGGATCATTGTATACATTTTTCGACCGAACTATTGTTTCATAATCAACGTCAGCGTCGACTTCTTCGCAGGGCGAATCTTTATTAAATTGAAAATTAACTGTATGATTAACAGATAAATCTGCTGATGAACCATCTTGATAGGAGTGATCTTTTTGGCTCGCTGTATCACCTCCTAATAATTGTTGCCAGCTCTGAATACTATTATTCGCATCTGTTTGATAAGATTGAGAATATTGATATCCACCATCAACATTGAGTGGTTGGGTCTCATCATGATCTGATTGATGAGGATATCCGTAAGGTCTTCGCATTGTTCAACGATTGCTAGTCGATCGGCAGTTGATCGTTTTTCTATTGAAAATGATGAAATGGACTTCTCGTCGATGAAAATATTTATTTTGATTATGTGAAGTAACAGTATGCGAGTTTTCTTTTCGTTTTTTTTTCTTTTTACGATTTTTTTCTATTGATAATAGTTCTCTCACGCTCAACACGAATTGAATCGATTGATGATGACAATTTAGTAATTATTGATCAACCATGACAAGCTATTTTAATTGACTGCATGTCATTGAAAATTCTTCGTTTTTGCACCTAACGGTTCTCTCTCTCTCTCTTCTTACATATTTACATAAAGTGGAAAGAAAAAAATTTCTATTACATGAATAACAAAAGATAAATATGCATATGGTCTGTTCATTCATGTGTAACATTACGCATTATTCGCCTTGATAAAACTATGACGTATGATGAACCGCTGGTCTATATTGTAGACAAGGTTTTTAACAGTATCAAAGCTGAGTATCAATAAAAATATGTGTAAAAGCGAATATTATTTCTCAATTATTTGCATCATTTTCAATTATCTTCATAAATTAGCCTTCTTTTTTAAATTTAGAACCATCAGAACAAGGTCATATCATATGGTAGACATTCAACGATACCCCCATGATTTTTATTTTCTAAGAGAGAAGAAAAAAGAAATTGTTATACACTAAATTCTACGAAATAGATCTAAACAATATCTCAGTCGAACGCAAGTTTTAAAATTTGAGCGCATTCTTGTTGATGAACTTCACCAATAGCTACTGCGGGTGTGCCAAGTACTTCGCGTCCGGCATAGTTGAGCTAGAAAAGAAGAAGAAAATTAATATGCACATTCACAAATAGAAACATACATGAATGCCAACGATATTTTCAAATCTTGGTCTAACGAAAACCCAACCACCCTGATTTCGATGTTCTTCTTGGCACCAAATAAATTCTTTTGCATTTTTATATTTTTTAATTTCTTGTCGAAGTTCATCAGCTGGAAAAGGACATAATTCTTCTAAGCGAATTATCGCCGTATCATCACGTTTTCGTTTATCACGTTCTTCGTTCAATGTATAATAATGTTTGCCACTTGTGAATAGAAGACGTTTAATCTTTTCAGGATTTAATTTCGTCTAGACATTTGAAAAATAAATAAATTCTATTCTATTCAAATGAAGCGAATGTTAAATAACAGACCTTTGACATGGTATCACTTAAGACAGGTAGGAAACTGGTACCATCAGCCATATCGGTTAATGTTGAGACACAATCCGGATGACGAAGTAAGATTTTGGGTCCAGCTACAATCAATGGTTTGCGAAAATTTCGTATCATCTATTATAGAAAAAGTTTGTTTTTGGTTAAGTTTTCTTTTTCAAAATCTTACTTGTCGTCGTAGAAGATGAAAATATTGAGCTGGTGTTGTTGGATTAACAATTTGCATGTTGATATCATCACCATCGATGCCATTTTCTTTACTGTCCGTCATCTAAACGGATGTTTAATATTTAGCTAGAAAACATTTTCAAGCTATAAACCTGTAAGAATCTTTCTAAATGGCAACTACTATGTTCCGGTCCGGCACCATCCATTCCATGTGGAAGTAACATAACAATACCAGATTGTGTAAGAAATTTTACTTCAAACAAGAACCTCTTTATGTTGGTTTCTCTTCGTTTTACTAAAACTACTTACGTTCGCCTCCGCTAACATAAGTATCGATGATAATTTGAGCACCATTAAAGAAATCTCCAAATTGTGCTTCCCAAATAACGAGATTCTTCGGATCATGAATACTAAAGCCATAATCAAAACCAAGTACTGCTTCTTCAGATAAAATACTGTTGCAGATCTGTAAAAATAACCAGAACAAATGGTTCATTGCGTTTTGCTTTTTTTCTTGATAGTCAATAAACAGATAAACTTACTTCAAAAAAACCTTGTTTTGCGTCTAAGGCATTCAGTGGAATATATACATCGTCCGTTTTTTGATTAACAAGCATGCCATGCCGTTGACTAAAAGTACCTCGGCCAACATCTTGACCACTAATACGAATGTTAAATCCTAAAAGCACGAAAAAGAGAAAATCATTGATTTTATCCCAACGGTCAGTAGCAAACCTTGAAGAAGTAATGAGCCAAATGCTAATGCTTCAGCTGTTGACCAATCAAGGCCATTGCCTGCTTCAATGCGTTGTTGACGTTTTTGAACATGAGATCGAGCAATAGTTGAATGAACATGCTATTATATAAGAAAATAGCTCATTTGAATAGCACAAAAAGCGCATTCTTACAAAATCTTCTGGTACATCAACAGATTTTGCACCGATATATTTAAGTAAATTTTCACTGAGACCCGTATTCCATTGAGTTCGAACTGATTTAGCTTGAATAAATCCAGACCATTGTCGTTCGAGATGAGGAGCCTAGATTTTACTTATAAAATTTTATTTCAATCGAACGAGATTCGGTTTACTTGTGGTTGATATTTATCAGCAATAGAATATTGCTCTTCTAAAGTATTGCGAAACAAACGAATTCTTTCATTCAATCCTTCGTCTAGTGGAGATTCTTGTTTATAGTGTTCTTGCACTTTTTTATACATTGATGGTTGCGTAAATGTTGGATCATCGAGTTCATTGTGTCCATGTTTACGAAAGCAGACAAGATCAACAACAACATCTTTACGAAATAAATCACGGTATTCCGATGCTAATTGTGCAGCTTGAGCAATTTCCTAAATTTTACAATAGCGAAGAGAAAAAAATCAATAGAACTATAATCACTGCTGGACATTGGCCATTAACATGAATAATTGGACAATTAACAACTTTCGCAAAATCAGTACAATAACGTGAAGAACTTAATACACAAAAAAAACAACAATATATATATAATTAAAAAGAAGTTTATTATTTCGAATTCTATTTACCGTGCTAAATGTTGCGGTGTTGTGTAGCCAATTTGATTGTTAGTAACAAGATGAATACTTCCGCCAACCGAATAATTAGGTAAATTACCCAATTGGAATGTTTCAGGTATGATACCCTAAATAACGATAAGTCAAGGTTAAAAATCTTAGAAATTCTTCGTAATTTTAATAATCGCGGTCGGATTACTCTGAAGCCATTGAATTTTTCATTCAAACCCATTAATCATATATCTCCTGAGAGCCGTATACTATTTCAGGAACTCAAAAAAAAAGGTTTCTTTCCTTTCTTCTAATGGTTAGCGTGAATAGGACTCGCGAAGACTCGTGCACTTATGCTTGATATTTAATCTTATACCTGTCCGGCAAAGGAAGCATCCCCGTGTACTTGAATGCAAAGTGCTTTGTCACCATGTCGACTGGCATTTTCTGCATTAGCATAATGACCATCTTTTAATGATAATTGACAGGCGCGTGTTTTACCGACGGCAACTGGATTATTAGCCTTGTTTAATTTTCGAGAGATTTATGTAGAAAAAAGTAACAAGTAAAAATTTAATTTACTTCAAGATGAGATGGATTAGGAATAAGTGAAACATGAACATTTTTTCCATCATAAGTTAAATCAGTTGTTGTATCTAAAAAAATTCTCTTCATAGATTTTGTCTAATATGAATTCTCAACTCACATAAATGAGAAAGAACGTCGCCGGTTGATTTGACATCGTTGGGAAATTCACGTTTTCCTTTTATCTTTCGAAACATTGTCGCTGCTGGATAATTCAGTAGGCAAACAAGTAAATTATTTCGACCTCGATGTGGCATACAAACAACGACATTATCAATGTTTACTATTATGTAAAATTAGGTTTTTCTTTTTTAGCGACAAATTATTGTATTCTAGTAACATACATTGTGCCGAATGTTTAAATGCTAGATCGAAAAATGCCATCATGCCTTCGGCTCCTTCGCCACTGTAACGTTTCAATGTTGGAAATTTAGCTTGTAGAAATTGATCAAATGTCTAAGAAAATAATGTTGTTCGTTCGAATCGAAAAATGTGATCGATTTACAATATTAACAAGATGACTATTCATTTTATCATTATATGTCAATCAAAAGAGATGTTTTCCTCACGGGAAATCATTAGGATAATCATAGATAGCATAAAAGATATGACGTATTCATAGACAGAAGAATATAAAATGAATAATCACTTATTATTATCAATAGAATTCATGCAAAACTTCAAAAGAAAACATATGTTATTCATATATGTTTATATTGTTTTGTACCTCACATCGACGCATCTGTTCAGTAATTCTTTGTTGAATATCGTCGGACACGGTTTCCGATGTACGTAATTGTTCAAATCGACGAGCAACCCAAAGACGTTCAATATCACTCTAAAATACGCATATATATTGGTTAGCTCTAATTCTTTGGCGAACTAACTTCAATGTGTTCGCATTCTAAACTTATTGATTGACAATAGATTTCCTCGAGTTGTCTTATCAGGTCATCTTTTGTTTTCGGTATCGATCGTTGTCTTGATAGACCACCGAATAGAGAGCGAACATCATCTTCATTTGTAACATTGAAATCAACGGTAAATATGTTTGCATCTAATTCAGGAATTGATCTATTCATGAGGGCTTTTTATGATCAAATTCAATAAGTTGAAAATCGATTATTTTTCTCACGTGTTAATATTGATTCCCAATGGATCGATCGTGGCCAGACGATGGCCGTGCTTACGATAAGCATCAATAAGTAACGCCGCATGAGGATTAGCTTGACGAGCTTGGTTGTAATCACCTACATATTGATAAGGAAATAAAAATTTTCGTAATCAAATTGATATGTATATATATTCACGAAGACTATTCGCTATTTCTTCAGTATTTCCATGAGTTTTTAATTCTGCATTATATCCAAATACTTTCGATTGATATTTATATGTTCTTATAAGATTATTCTGGATGGGTGCTAATCGACGTTGAACAATACGCAGATACATCTGAAAGCAACATAGTGGCAGATGTCAATAGGAACAAAGCTCTTTAATTTATTCTTATTCTTTCTGTCTATGTCCATCTGTCATGATATTTTTTTTTTGGCCGATGACAGTGCGCGCGTCTTCAACATGGGTGGTAGTTGTTTAATGATGAAGAGAAAAGGAGAAAAAATCAATTAAGATGTGTTAGCCTGATTGAATCAGTCCGGACATGAACTCAATTTTTTTCTCAACATCATCAAAGACAATAATGAATAATATTCATTTAAAACAAAAAATTTTTCCTGTGAAAGTAATCCTCAATGCGTTCACCCGACTGTGATATACAAGACAAAACAAAAAGAAAAAAATTGACAAGCCAATTCACTTCCGTCGGCACATGGCTAGATGATTGTCTTGACCAAAAACAGAAGAAAAAGAAAAAAAATGAAAGTAATGTTAATGAGAGAGAACGAGCAACTGGTACAAAATAAAAAAAAACCAATCAAGCGAAATTAGACGTATACAGACACAAGACAACAATGAAAAAAAAAAGAATTCTGTGGAGTGTGTTTTGTTTTTTGTGCGTTATCCTGTACTATGGACACACTGTTCACGGTGATAATATGTCCAAATAAATTTTTCAACGTAACCTGAGTAATTCAGTCAAGAGGAAAAAAATGAGAATCTTGGTAAAAAAATACGATAGACTAGAGAAAGTAAACGAGTTTTTAACGCTGATTAATATATACGATTAATAAAAATGATAATAACATAGATGAAAATGAGTATATCGTCGAACCATCGGATGGCAATGATCGTATTTGATTTGCATCACGTACAATAGTTATAACTCGTTTTCCTTTATCATTACCGTTAACATTTAATTGTACAATAAAACCGTCGTTTAGTAATTGTTGATAGAAATTCTCTTCGGTTTTATTTCCCTGTCCATTCGTTTTCGTTGCTAATGGTACTGAGATTAATTTATCACGACTGAATGTAACAATACTTTTATATTTTCCTAATGTTTCATTTTTAACCTCAATTGTAATGCCCATATCCGGTGTTAATGCTTTTTTATCTGTTTGACGACTCCATATTAATGTTGGCTGAGGATTGCCACTATACGAACATTCGATGGTCGAGAGATTTTTTTGCGAATCAACAAATTGACTTTCATCACATTTACCAAAACGTGGAGCAAACAGAACCTCTATTACTTTACTTGCTTGTTGTTCATCATTTCCTATTAAATATGAAAAAAGATATTTCCAATGAAAATTATATTACAAAAGAAAAAGATATAAAAGCTATCGAACCTTGAAGTACATTACAATAGATTGTTGAGTTATGCCATTCAGCGCCCACTGTTATCGTTGCTTCCCAAACGAATTTTTGTGGATAACCACTATTACTCAGCGCTGATGTACTTTTCCCGTCGTTTGTTATGTCGATATGATTGCGAAGAATTTTATGTCCAACATATGGAAAAAAATCATTCACTTCACATTTTATTTTTGCTTGTGACTCTTCATGCAATGGCCAACCCGGTCCGACTTCCCATTTTGGTGTACTCAATTTCATAACAGATAATGTTCGGTTTTGACTTGCTATGGCATCGGCACAATCCGGACAATCACATTCATATCGAGCTGAATCTTCTGGTTGTAAATCTCGTATACGTATATTATTTTTATTTACGTATGAATAACGTTGATTTTTATTGTTTTTGAATACATCTGGTGCATCTTCCATCGGATTTGTTAATAATGCCCGCGATATTGATGTTCGTTTGCCAGTTTTCAAGTCAACATGCCACAATTGAGGAGGTTCAGTATGATCGCTTGGATTAATTATTTCGCATTTAATTGTGACTTCTTTTCGAAGAGGCAGATACTTGTCATCAGGAATAAAGGTTAATTTTGTTGCGGATCGAGGAGGAGCTGGTTGTACAGTAGAAATAACAATAGTAATCAATAAGATTGTTATGGTATACATTCTTCAAGTGTTCGATCTAAATAGAATATATTTCGAAGGTCTTTTTCAAAAGGCTTCTATTTTATTTGTATCAATCAATCAATCAAGGCAAATGTATTGCCGGAGAAGTGCATATTTACATAAGTTGTTGTTCTTTCTCACGTTTGGACTTTCTAGTTTGTTTTTTTTTCGATGGAAAAAGTTCATTAATTCTTTTTTTAATCCAAAGATATAACAAAAAAAAATGAGGATAAGAAAAGCCATGTAATCATTTTAATGGATATCGAAATCGAAAGAAAAATGTATGATCTGATAGAAATATGATTACACATACCAATAGTTATTATGCTTGTTGTAATTGTTTTATTTGCTGTCTATCGGTGATCTGTATAATTCTATAGATCTACATTAAATTTAAAGCATACAGTAGTTGCTATTGTTGATATTGATAGGAATGAGTTCGAATTGTGCTGAGCTTTTATTCAGTCTCGCTTTTGTTCTTCTTCCGACTTCCTCGTAAGTAGTTCAACGGCCAAATGATGGTGATGACGATAGAGAGAAAGAAAGAGCGACTGAGTTCGCATCTTTTTTTTGTCTCTCTCCCCCCTCTGTCTTTCTCCTTCTTTCGCTCTCGCTCTCCTTTTTTTCCATCTCTCTCTCTCTCTCGCGCGCGCGCTTTTTATGCAATGTACGAGTGAGAGTGTCTGCGTGTGTGTCCTCGGTCAAGTGCTTGTAGAAAAGGAATACTATCCAAACTCCAAAGGAGAAAAAAAAAAGCGAGAGAGAATATTTCACCATGCAATCTACAATAGGCACGTAGAAAATGGACACCTGCCTGCATTTATGAAATTAAATTGTATTAATATGCAAAAACGGATTTTTCTTTTCTCCCGTTCTCTGTTCTATATTTAATGTCATTACAGTTCAATAGTTCTGGAAAATCTCTTGCTTACTCGAAATGTATTTATATATGAACTAGACGATGAAGAAAAAGAGAAGAAAAAGAAGGAATTCAAGGGTATAGTGCAGATAGATGGATGAACCCAAGAAGCAGAAGGAAAAAAAAGGATGGAGAGAATGAACCACGAAGGCATTGGCACAATACGCGGACATCTTGCGGTCTTTTTTTGCTGTGTGTTTTTTTTTAATTTCCTTGTTTTATTCTTCTCCTTGTAAAAGACGCGTGCATGTGTCTGTCGAGTTTATTCGCTATTCTAACAAAGAAGATCTCATAGGGAGATCGCGTCACGAATGTTCAATACAAGCATTGGTCTAAAAGGAAAAGGAAAGGAAAGAATACAAATGAGTGCTCGCATGAATGGCATGTGTGTGTCTATGTATATAAGCAAGACAGATGGTTTCGAAAATTAGTCAATTGCAAATCCCTTTTGGTCATCATTAGAATAACTCTTATGGTTGTATTAATAAAGAAATAGATGGAGCAGGACACCTGCTTGTTACGATGAGTCGCATAGTTCTCTTCTCTCTCGCTCTATTTGTTTTGATACAAAGATATGACTACTGTTTCGTAACTTGGTTCATCAATTATTGATGATCATTATTTTATTTAGTCAACTTTATGTGCATATATAAAGTGACGAATGTTGGCGCCGGATGTGGGGGATGCAGATTTGGTGTCCATAACGCGCTCAATTATAATAAAACATCAGCAAGCGCAAACTGATGCTAACCCTGAATAGAAGTCATAATTATTTTCTAGAGCACTCATGGCCATTTACATGCCAAAGAAGAAAAACGATTAATCGAAGATACACACACATCCACAAATATATATATATATATATACATATACAACAGGCACAAGATAACAATTTGTCAGTCCTTTAAGGCATAATATTCTTTAATCATCATATGTTGTCATTGGTTGTTCAATATTTTGATTTGAGCTGTGTTCTTATTGTATATACATTCTTTTGTGTCTACAAGATCTCCTCCCCTTTCCTTCCCCGTTTTTCTTGTTTTGTTGATTACTACGCGATACAAATGATAATATACGCCAAATGCAATGTGTCGAACATTTGGCGGAGGCGTATCAGACGAAATACGATTGAATTTCTTATTCTTTTAGTTATTTTAGACAGTAAGTATTAATTCCCATGTATTGATGGAATGTTAGATGACGCAATTGTAATAGTTGAATTCATTTATGTCAAAGAAATAACGGTGAAAGCAAAAATCCCTGCTTCGCTTTTTTGATTGTCAAATGAATAATTTAATCTAGCGATGCGCAAACTTGCGTTGTCTTCTTCTTCTTCGGTCTACATTTACTATGTAAATAATGAAAACAAAGAAGCAAAATGATCATAATGGAACAATGCTTAAATCTTTTTCTCTCTTCTTTCTTCAGTGTTTTTTTACAGAATATGATAATCATGAAATTTGATGCTCCGCCATTGTAATGATTTTCAAAAAGAAAAATCAATCACTATTATTCATTTACATGTAATGTTTGCAAACATTTCGTTAACAATAAATCACAACTATATGTGTGTGTGTGTGTATATATATAAATATAAATGATAGATGATGTTGTTAAACAAATAGAATAGAAAATTAATTCTCAAGTCAAAAGTAAATTTCAATAGACTTTTATAATGAAAAGGTCAGACGGATGTTTCATTCAAAATGACTGCCTGTCACAAATCATTACGAATAATGATTATATAATGAAAAAGAATATGAAGAACGTGCTAGCTTACTGTCTAATAAAAAAGTCTTCTTCTTCTTTTTGTTGCTTCTACATTTATATTTTTTCTTTGCTAAAGAATGTTCCATCCCTGAGCGGCAATGATGCCGATGATGATGATGATTATTTTTTCTTTTTCTTTTTCTGATTTAGATTACTGAATGGTCTTCCTTTTTCTGTTGAACATCATGCATGACATGTCACTGGTCGCGTTGTCTCTCTGTTTCTCTTGTCATAGTAAAGCACATGGATGCATAAGCTTCCACTCAAGAGAAAACTTTCTCTCATGAGAATTAGATGTGTTCATAAGAGACCGTCTCTGTACTTAATCAATTGTAGAAGCCAAACTAACACTATTCAAGTATATATATACATATATATACATATATATATATATAGAAAATCGAATCACTAACTCAACTTTCAAGTAGACATCAATTGATACATTGTCGTATAGCAACGACATGTATTCTTTTTTTTTTTTGATAGTAAGAAATGACATTGCTAACTGTTAAGTGGTATGGCACCATTCATGTACTTGCTTTCATCTACGGTAGAGTTGAGAACCCTCTAGGGCCAAAAGTCGTTGACTAATCATATTGCATACTGATCTACTTCACATTTTGTCTGCCCTGAAACCAATGTTGGCCATGAATGTATACATAAAATGTTCAATTTAATGGCCGGTGAAAATGACGGAACTTATTCTTTATTGCATATTTTATTGATGTTCAAACTAGACCTTAAACTCACACACACAATCGAATGTGTGTGTGTCATTGGTTCTAGCGAAATGAATTTGATTAAGCGATAAGAGTGAGAAAAAAAACTAAAAGACGATTCAAGGACAAAGCATCTTCTCAACATTAAGATGAGAGCGCATCAAAAGCTATGCTATGTAAGTATTAAGCAATTGTGTTTAGTTAGAAAGGAAAGTGATGGTAAACAAAAAATTCTTTGTGCCGCTCGACATTCAAGGATGTTCATCAAATTCATACATAACAACGGATAATTACATTTAGGGCTTTTTCTTCTCATCTGCTTACTAAAGAAAGAAGAACAGAAAGCAATCATCTTCGAATTCTTTTTCGCACATAGATTCAATTAATAAAAATAAAAAAACGAGAAAAAAGAAATCAAGATCAATTTTTTTATACACATGTGAATTAACATAAACAAATACAATACAAAAAGAAACTCCTGCGTCCGAAATATTTTTTTTTACTGTAGACATTCATTAATATTCTTATGTCTTTGCACCCATATATATTTGTTATGAAATAGAGCAACAAAAAAAAATCTATAAATAAACTATGCGCGTTTATCGATCATCAGATCAGTTTTTCAATGCCTGTTACATTATTATTGACGTTTCTTTTCTTTTTTTTTTTTATAAAAATTCATACATTATTCATGTGCTATAAAAATAAAATAGTAATAATGTGACTATCTACAAGGATAAGCAACAATCAATAGGCCCTTGAAGTAAATGAAATTTTGTGCACTCGATAATATTAACATTTTATCATGACTTTCACATAAATCATGCTCATGCAACAGTTGACCGTTCTAAACTCAATGCTAATTTAGTGACTAATGTATTCTACCTTTTACAATCAATGAAAAGTTTTCCGGTTCAATGATATTGTATTCAATGTTTGTTACTCGTATTGTACGATTGACAAGTACACATCGTCATTCACAGGGTATCTTAGAAAAATCGAGTAAGAAAATGAGAATACCCATGTTAATATATGAAAGTGAACTAATTGGAGCGACGTTGCCTGATGTTACAATCAATTTATGCAAAAAATTCTTGTTCATCATTTTTCATCGTTTGACAAATGATGTTCTATTTTTTTATCGAATAAATCTGTCTTCTGTAGTAAACAAAAATGCTTTCATTGAACATTCTACTAATGATAATAAATAAGAAAATTCCATGATCGTTCCATTTTCATCGATTAATCTTCTCGAATTTCCAAATCAACAACATATTGACAATAAATTATTATCATAAAAGTATGCCTGGGGTACTCATTTTGCAAGGACGATAAACAGCGAAAGATTGGAAACAGCATGTTATCAATCTAACATCAATCAAAGAAAAACCCTATCTAAGAGACTTTCGGTCATTCTATACATATACACACATATGGTCTTGAGACTCGATTAAATTGCGATAATTGCATGCTTTTTAAACTAGTCTATACGCAGAGAAACATGATAAACTGAAGATCATCAAACGAACTCGGAGTTCTAATGAAAATATTCTATTTTACATACTTGGTGATTTTGTTTGCATTTGTAAATTTTTGATTGTTTATTTATGTCAATCATTTTCATACGTGTTATTATCTAAAAAAAACAATATTTTCCTGTCGATGATTATTAGATCCATTAAATAGAAAGAATATATATTTCCGGAAAGTCGATCTGATGTCCGGCATTGATTTTAGCAACTGTATCAGTAGTAGTTGCGTGTTTGTTTTTTTCTATGAAAAAAAAGTGACAAGCTTTGATGATTGAACTATGCTTAAAATTTCAAAAAATCTAAAGGTTTAGGCAGACTTTCTAATCAACTAAAGTAAGAACAGTGCATTAAATTGTTGTCATTTTTTGTTTTCGTGTCTATTTAATGTTCAAATAAATATTTCTTGTATTTTGCTTTTTCTTCTTTTTTTTTTTTTCGAAGTACCATAAACCAAAATTCGATGGAGAAAAATAATGAAATTCTTCTAATTGTTTTAAAAAAAAATCAACGAGACACAATAATTATTTAAAATAAACAATTTTTCTTTAGCTAACTTGCTCGTAAGCAACATTTAATAAACGAAAACGAAAACGAAAACAAGAAAAAGCCTAGATTTATGTCTATTCTTCATACATAGGTTTTTGTGGCCCACTACCACTCTCGTTATGTGTCTCGAATTGAATACGCATATTTGATGGTAAATTCATCATAGTTTTCCATCGACGTCCGATTTCACGAACAATTGTTCCATCTTGGGCTTCCGATAGCCAGAGACCGATTTTATGGCCACGTACACGAATTGACACTACACAACCAGTTATAAAACGGCTGAGTGGCCGCTGATCTCTACAATAGATAGAAGAAATGTTGTCAATAATTTCACAGTTTTTTCTTTTTCTGCATACGCATCATTTGAAAAGCAATCACCAATCATGCCAAGTAATGTTTCTTGCCATAAATCATCAAGTTTAACGTCGAAATTTCCTAATGTTAATAGCCAACGACCACCATTAGCATTTGCTGGATCCTCTAGAAAACAGGAGCAAAAAAGATAATTACAGTGAACAAAATAAATCAAAGAAAAAAAAATTGCTTACCCCACATTGGACGAACTAAAACAGAGCAAAACGAAAATGAATATTTATGCAAATCAAGAGGATATAGATTATTAATGATGTCAAAAGTTTATGTTGATTTTTTCCCTTCTTACGATAGAATCTTATCAATAAGTTCCACATCTTAAAATAAATGTTCACTCTTCCGGAATTTCAAAATCATTGTTCTGGAACACAAAATTTTTATGCGTCATAGACTTATAAGTATTGCATCACGCAATAAATTCTTTAATGCAAATCTTAACGTTCATACGATTAATAAATTGAAATCTTTATAATACTATTTCTAACGGCATGTATCTATATAAAATCAAGATTCATCCCTGAAAATCTGTTGGATTATAATTCTAATGGCACGATTATATTTAATTAAATATAAAAAGGCAATGACGTAATTCGCTTACTTCCTGTCCTGAAAAAATAATAATCTGAATTAATTTTGGCAGTTGCAAGACGTGATGGCAATGCTAAATGATTGTATGTTGCCCAGAAGTCTTCCACAAATGCAACATCGATTAATTTTATTAAAGATTTCTCCCAAACAATACGTTTGTCAGGTTTAAGATACCAAAATGTCCATGAAAATTCTAATGGACTCTTTGGATTGCCATTATCAATCGATAATTCTCGTTCATTATTAACTTTTTCTTCTTGATTAGAAGTAGTGCTTGCTGTCGTATCCGTCATTTGTATTTTTTTTAATAAAAAACAATAAAATGAAAAACAAACTAGTGAAAAAAAAACATCTGGTTTATCCAGTGATTCATTCAGGTGTGTCGATTATGTTTGAAATTATTTGTTCAATGAAAAATACGGATTAATATTAAAATTTATAAAAATTTATCTAAGAAATATTTCCCTGGAAGTTTTATAAAAAAAATTATTTATTCGAATATTTCCCTTTTTTCTGAAAAGAGATCGTTGCTAAGCAATGAATATTAAAAATATTCTCAATTCAATATGGCCGTCGTCTTCTTGAATAGAGATTAATTTAATCGTATAATGGCTCATCTTCTTGGAAGTAAAACTTGTATTGATAGTTTACGTGTTGATATTGATGATATACAAACTGTAATTTGTGAAATTATTGGAAAAACAGGTTCATTGAAGTAAAAAAAATAGCTCTTTCTCAGAATGAAATGAAATTCATTTTTCCTAATGTATAGATGTCATTCATGGAAATTTCCCGATAAACTTGCGACTGATATTGACATTAAAGAATTACTTGAACGTTATCAACATGGAAAAAATGAACTTGACAATCAAGTTTCTCATATTGTTCTTTTCGAAATTATTATTGATAGGTATGTGTAGAAATATTGTAGAATTAAGTTATTTATTGAAAAATTTCAGCATTGAAAAATTCATTCTCGCAGGCAAGTAACATAGTTACATTTTTAGAATTGATTATCTATAGAATGATTGGTGCTTGTCTTCTCTTCAGAAACTGCAACTAAAATGAAAATATCTACTTCTTTTTTGTGCAATGTTTACACTTTGAGTTCTTTATCTTTTGAATCAAATCACTGAAGATGTCCCTAGATGTTGATCAGGCGAATACACACATTGTATATCTCTTTTCATTATGACAAGCTCAAAATGAGGCTTTATCTATAAACACCGAGAACTACCTGTTCGATTGCTATGATATAAAATAAAGAATTCTTTTAAGTTTTGTTTTTTTCCTAACAGATTATTACTCGTTGTACATGGATCTTGGCATTTTCTATATGAAATTCAAGCTAAACTACTACCCAATACCATCGATTCAGCATCGACTGTTAACCTACAAACAAGTCTTAGTATCGGTTTAGTAGTTAAAAAATATTGGAATAAATTACTACATTTATTCAGCATTCTTCAACAACATGAGGTTGAACCAGACAATGCCTGAAGTAGACTAGAAATTTTAAGTTCATTATGTTTTAGACCAGTCGTAAACGATCGAATCCTACACCGTCATTACCCGTACGATCCAAATCAACTGTAACTAGCGAAAAACAATGTCAAACCATCGAAACATCATTTGGTCCGTGTTCATCGTGTCTAAAATATCAGGAATATGTTCAAAATTCTAGTGAAAGTATGATCAATCTATGTCATTTGTATAATTTACCGTCGTCTCTTGCTCATCATCGATGTTCAACATCGACAACATGTGAATCATTCAATGATATGAGTCATTGGATTGATTCTCAATCGAAAGATTTTGATCGCTTATCAAAACATCTTGAATATTTACATAGTACATTAAACAAAACAAAACAGGATTTAGATTCGAGTGAATATAATAGCAAACAACTCAATGAAACAAATCATCATTTACAGCAAATAATTCATAATGAAAAAGAATCAAAGAAAAAATTAGAAGAATTGCATGAACAGAAATTAATCGAAATCAAAAAAGACAATGATCAATATCAATGGAATTTAAATGAACAACTAAAATTGTTAACAACACAAAAATCTAATCTTGAACAACGACTAAAAGAAATTACCGAAGAATCTACGTCACGAGGAGAACAAATTGAAAAGTTAGGTTAGTAAAATATTTTATTCTTAGAAAAAAATTCTTTGGTGCTTTTTTAGAATCATCGAAAATTGAATTAAAATTTCTAACGGAAGAACGAGTTAAATCCGATGATCTAATAAAAACATTAGAAGAAGATCGGATTCGTTTGCAAACTCAGCTCGACGTTGTTAAACGTGATCTTGAAGAGCGTAATCGTGATTTACACAAAGAACGTATGCGCATGGAAAATATGATTCGACATGAAGAAGTAACGATAGATTCTGTTTTAGCGGTTAACTTTTCCTTTCTAATGACATAGAATTATCAATCAAAACAAAAGCTACTTACAAATTCCTATGAAGAATTATCAAAAGAACTTGAATCGCTGAAGTTAGTAGTATTCACTAGTGACTTTTACAATTAATTTTATTTTTACAATTAGAAAAAAAGTATCCGAATTAGAATGCGAACGAGATGAGTTACAAAAACGAAATCAGCCATCGTCCGATACCAATCAAGTTCAATCATTTCTCGAAACCAACAATCACGTTTTACAAGAAGTTACTTCGCTTAAATCAACAATCGAACAGCTTCAGCAACAACTTCAACAAATGAATGAACGTGAAAAAGTGTTACTTCAACATCACAGTTCAAATGGATCTTCTCAACATACATCAAGTAGTTAATTGTACAATATCAAAATTGTTTTTTCTTCTATTCTTCGTTTCTTTAGCATCAAATAATTTCCTAATCGATATGCAAACTCAAATGAGAACAAATGAACTCCGTATTGATTTATTAAGAAAACAAAACGATAGTTTAAAATCATCATTAGAACAAATTCGAGTGCCCAATCATCACACTACTCTACCGTCAGTATCCGAAGAATTAAGACCAGAACAAACAGATCATCACAGTTCTTACACGCATGAGCCACTACCACCGGTAAATTATGATTTTAACTTAAATCTAATAGATATTCCGGAACGACTGAAAAAAGCAAAGCGTTTAATAATTTATTTTAGAAACCAAAACAATCTCCGCTGTGGTTGCTAAATAATGAAATTCTCGAACAACAACAACAACAACAAACTTTTACAGAAACAAAGTGAACTAAATTTAATTTCATCGTTTTTTTTTCTATTTCTCTGATTTTAGACCACCGATAGCAAAAATCTACATGCCACGTGTAACTGATAGTAACTATACGTCTCATAGATGGATTAAATCAGATCAAGATGTAAATATTGAAACATTATCGCAATCAAATGTTCATTCAGCGTAGGATGAGCTTCCTATCTCAATAAGCACAAATAAATCTTAATTTTTTAGAGATTCCCGACCGCCAATTCCAAATCATAGCCGAGCACCAAGTATTCCTTCACGATTAGATCATGAAATGACGATGGGTTTGTTTGTTTGTATAAATTTAATTTCCATTGAAATAAAGTTCGTCTTCTAGCTAAAGTTCAATTAATCACATTAAATCGCCCTTTGTCATCCAATAGAACTCGTCCCTCATCTACAACTGAACATACTCGACGAGATAATTCCCTACCGAAATCTTCTCGAACATTCTCATCGGCTAAAACACAACGTTCGCCGACTAAAGCAATTCATCAATGTACAACTTGTAATCGAACTTTTGATGACAAACGAAATTATGATATACACAAATTATATTGTAGGACTTAAATTCAATGATTTATTGTTTGTTTGTTTTTTTTATGAAAAAAAAATGAGATTGCACAAAATTTTTTTTAATGAAATAAAACAGAAAGTGAATGAACAAAAACAGAAAAAATTAATCTACATTATTTAGTGGAATGATTATGAAATAAGTAAACATGAAAAGAAAATCAAACTTCTATGCAAATCATGACATATGTAAATTTCCTTTAGCAATCATTTGTTCTGATAAAAGGGTTTGAAGACACGATGGATTACCAGCGTGACGAAGAAATGGGTGATCAAGCAAATCAATAGCTGTTGCACGTTGAGATGGATCACGTATTAAACATCGACCAAGAAAACCTTGTAAAAGTGATGAAGTCTGCAAAAGCAAACGTACGTTGCATAAATTAGAATAATAGGGAATTAGTATTTTTTTTACTTTATGAGGATTCTTTAATTTTGGTGGAGGCTGATCGCGAATTTTACGCATAGCAGTTAATGGTTGTTCATTGAAATACGGTGGTTCACCGTCAATCATTTCCATAACCTGAAATAATAAAAAATATTCTCTCGAACTAAAACAATCTATTCAAGGACGAAGATCAATCGATAAAAGTAAACATATGAATGTTTAGAAAATTAAAGTGGGAAAAAATGCGGCTCTAGTGCTTCATTGTCTGAAGTATGATACTTCAGTTGAATCAATTTTCATTGACCTTGAAATCTCTCATTTAACTTTTAGGTAAGTGCCATCTACTTACCATAATACCCAATGACCAAATGTCGACTTCCGTTGAATAGGGTGTTCTTGATATGACTTCAGGGCTCATCCAATAAGCTGTCAAAAATTAAAATGAACTTTGAAATTTTAAATCATAAAAACAATTCTTACGTGTGCCAACTAATGATTTTCTTTTAATAACTTGTGCTTTTTTCTCATTCATAACTTGTGCGCAAAAACCAAAATCACTCAATTTAACAAAACCATCCGTTGAAAGTAATATTGAATCGCTTTTTATATCTCGATGGATAACACCGTGCGAATGGAGATAAGCAAGAGCTTTAAGAACTGCTTTACAGACAGTTGCAATTTGTTGTTCATTCATTCTTATTTCACCCGATGGTGTGACAAGTAAATCAGTTAGTGCACCACCATCAAGATATTCCATTACAACCCATAATTCACTATCGACTAAATACGAACCATACATTTCAACAATATTTGGATGTTTATAATCACGCATAATCATTACCTAAAATTTCAAAAAAAAAAAGAATTATGTAGAAACAATACGAATAGAAATAGACAGCGTAAGGTTAGGATTATGATAAAAATTATTGCATGCCATAGCTTTTGAAATGAACATTAGTTCATCTAGCCTTTTTTGCTTACTGGATATTCTCAGCGGTCGACTTGAATTCCTAGTCTGATATTTTTGTGACTGAATAATTTTCAAATAGATATAGAACTTCGGTGGAAAAAAAATATTTACTTCATTAAACAGAAGTTCTTTTCGTTGTTGTTTAGTAATATTCATTTGTTTGATAGCAACTTGTGTACCATAGTGTTTATCAATAGCTATGTAAACATTAGCTGTTGATCCTTCGCCAATCTTAACAAAATGATCGTACATGGCCCGAGGATCGGATTGACTGACAACTTTTTGCAATGCAAAAATGAACTATTCAACAACAAAAAAGAAGTGAAAATTTTGATTAAAAGAAAAAAAATCTTCCGAAAACATACATCTTCAAGTGATAATTTTGTATTTCCATCGATTTTTTCTCGAGGTGTAACAACAATAGGTGATGTTGCTTGTTTGTGTTTTCCATTCGATGGAAGTAATAAATCATTTTGATAGTTTGGAGCTGATGGTTTACGATTATCAACGGTTGGTTCAGGTGTTTTTATATTATAGAGACGATCGAGATGAGTATTACGTGGAATTTGTACGAGTTGATTATGAGAATGATAATGATATTCGTCCGGTATTTTCGGTGGACTCAATTCCCGGTGGTTTGTTAATGACTGTTGACTTGATCCTGAACCACGAACAATTGTTTGAGACTAAAAAAAAAGATATTTCAAGTGTTCGTTTTAAAATATCCAGAAAAACAGACTTTAAGAAATTGAAGATCAGCTGGTGTTAAAAAACAAGGATCACCAATGAATGGTTTCGGTCGTGGTTGTTGACTTGAATATTGTTGTTCGCGTTGTTGTTCGCGTTGTCTTTGACGTTCGTATGCAGCCATTGCTGTTCGTGATATGTCTTCATCTGTTAAGATACTTGCCCACTGTGGTGGTAAATCTTTTAATGTTTGACTATTTAGATCAAAGTATGTTTTACGTAAATGCTGAAAATTCGTTGGTTTAGATATTTCTGGACGTTTTTTACGTTTAAAAACCATATTTTTCAAGATGGTGCGTACGTTGATTGTTGATCAATAGAGGAAGAAGAAGAAGAAGAAGAAGAAGCAAACAATATGTACTGGACAATGGCAAACATCGATACTGATCACCATTGGTCATTTTATTTGGATACGTAAGAAATTTTTATAAGATGTCAGTAGTCGCAGGGGAATTCTTTAAAGGTTTTTTTGTACATATAAATGTATACCAAAAAAAAAGACATGGAAAATAGTAATCCTCATAGGATCTATATTCAATATCTGCTTTATTGAAAATAGTTTCATCAATAATATTTTACACCACTAAAACAAAGGATTATATATTTGATTCGGTAAGTTACGATACATAATTAGCTATCATTTACTTATTATTATTAATTAATAAAGCAATGAATATGTTTGATCCTCATGAAGTTATTCTTTTTATAGGTATAGCCTCAATAATCATTCCTAGTCGACTCTCCCTCAAAAAACCTCCTGGAACTCCAGAGGGAGTCCCCAGTGATTCCGCGGGGCGTTCAGATTTTTCGGAGACTTCGTAAGGGATATTCGATTAGGGTTTGTATATCAAATTTTTATTTGTAGTTGATATTCATATCCGAAATATAGACAGTGTCAATTCTATGTCATCTATGTTCTTTTTCTCGTTAATCGGTTACTAGTAAAAACACTCATCATTATCATCCTTTTACCAAAAGCAGCATTACACTAGTCGACGATCTTGACATCTTTCTTTCCAGATTCTTGCCCAAGACGGTAGCAAGATTCTTGAAAATCAGGTAAAATTCTTGCTGCTAACTCAAGAAATGGTTCTGGCCTGATTTTTAAGAAGAAAAATAATCTTGTCTGACAAGCAAGAAAAACAAGAACCTGGACAGATCGAAGTCAAGATCTTTGACTAGTGTATCTAAATTAATGTCGTATGAAAACGAAACACTTTATCTTATTTGATTTACTGAATCATCTTCCACTGAAGAATGTGATGGTTGATGTTGTCAGTTACCAACCGATACTATAGACCAGTTCTTCTAATTTGCTACGCACTTTTCCCACTTTATCAATACCCCCCATCTTTCTTTATATTTTAAATATATTTTTTCTGCAACATTTTATTATTAGTTTGAAATCGAGACTTCTTGTAATACATCAAATGTTATGGGTAATTATTTTCATGATTAACAAAGATAATTTTATTTAATACTGGTGTTTCTTATCAGACGTATACATCGATCTGGTATATCAGGTGTACGTCTATAATAACCCCATGAGAGAAAAATCCATGTCTAATTACACCTACCGTAGTTTTGATGTATTTCGAAATAGTTTGACCCATTCAGTCCTTTAATAATTTCAATCAACAGAGTACTGATTCGGAATTAATTTTTAGTTCGAGTAAATTCATATTACTAAATTCTGTTCGAGTCACTTTCATCTAATGATGATTATCCAAGTCGAGCAAAACGGGATCGTTTACTACCCGATTATGCGCGGAACATGTTGTTAAGATGGAGCGCCTATGGTAAAAAGCTGTTAGCGCAATCCCTGTGGGATTAAAATATGAAACACGGCGAAACTTCTTTGTTGGAACCGTCTGCCACGGTGTTTGAGTCTTTGCAGCTGTTCTGCCACTGTCTGTAATCATATATGGAGCATTTCGGTCACAGTATGTAGTGATCTACGGAGCTTCTCTGTCACGGTTTATATTATGATGTATTGAGTCGCTAGAGACCATCACAGACCGTTACAGAGAAATTTAATAAACAATTAATTAAGCACTACAGTGCTAGCTTTAGCTAAAGAAGCGTTTTATTGTTAACAAAAAAAAAAACAAAGACACGATCAAGAGAGCAGTTAAAATTCGACTGACTTTCACAGAACAACATGATTAACCCTTTCTTATTCTTCGCGTCTTTTTTTATTCAATAACACTCTCCCATTCTTTAAAACAGAACTATTATATGCTTATTTTTGTTTTCGACGCGACGGTTTATACCATTGTTGAGTTGGTATAGAATCGATGTACGCTCGTGTTAACATATCACGATGTACTAAATCTAATTTCAGTTGGCCTTTGACATCTTCTAATTGATATGTACCTAAAGGGCAAATCTTCTTGATTTTGTATGGACCAAGCTAGTGAGGTTGAAATTTCTTTCTATTTTCATTGTGAATTAAAACCCAATCACTAGTTGTAATTGATCAGCAATATGTTTTAAATGATGCGAAGGTATGCTTGATACCAATTAATGTAAAGTATGAGTTCAATAGAGTAGCTGCCTAATTCGACTTCGAATATAAGTGAAATTTTCCAAAAATCATATTGTGCATGGGCAAATGATAAAGATAAATTTAATAATTCAATTTTAAGCACTCATATAAGTGCGGCAAAAAAAACAAAAGTTTAAATTTTATCTTAGTTATACTTAAATTTTGTAATTCAATTTTAGACATTCATATATGCCCAATCGCACCCCGGTGAAATCCTTCGCAGCACCCACAGTTGTGCGAGATGTAACCATACTCTGTTAGAGCAAGAATAGTCGTACTTATCGCAGCTAACCAGTAAGCTATCTCCAATGTGTAAGCGACGATCATGCGTCAGTTTCCAACAATTCAAATCAGAATGCTACGGGCCTATCTGAGTTTACTAAATGCATTATTCAGGTTTCTTTGAGCATCCCTGAGATTGCTAGTAGCATTCGTGAGAGTCGTAATACTATAGTTGTGATTGCTACACACATTGCTCAGGTCGCCAGAAACAGTCGTTAGCCTGATAGCTGTATGCTCTAGTTTTGTGAGAACATTCAAAAAACGGAGGCGCAGTTGCACCAGCTGCGGTATTGCATCTAGCACCTCAGATATCCACTCTGGACTCTGAATTCAGTTTCCAGCAAATTCTGTCATAGTTTCAATACTTTACGGTAGGGCAAGGTAACGCAACGTTTGCGTCGCCAACCCTCTACTGAAAGGATTTAGTCATGTGGAACGTAGCTATCCAAAACTATCTAACTGAGAGACTTCACATTTTATAGCTTCGAAATGATTTTCATGGAAAAAACGATTGATAACCGAGCATAAATAGAAAACTTGCTTGGAAGTATCCCCAAGAAAGCGGCATTTAATTACTACTTACTAATATTATATGGCGATACTGAAGTTAAGTGCATCCGATCTGCTACAGCTCAAGCTACGCCTCCAAAAACTTTCGATCAAATTAATAACGGAGTGAAAAAAAAGACCCATTCATGAGAGCTATGATTGAAATACTCCATTTTAGTAAAGTTACAACTCAAATTGGTGTATGAACTAGATATTTAACGTGAATCTGCACGAGTAGATCAGAGATTACATCAAAATGTCTTTTTCTAACTCGATTTCGGTCAGATTTGTCCTAATTTTTGCTCAACCTCATGTGGGCTCATTTTGTTTCGGTGCGTTTATCCCGTCTAGAATGGATATATTCATTCTTGAGTGCACGTTCACACATAGATAAACCTAAGATTTACATCTTTTGAATAGAAATCCACTCGCAATCAGGAAAAACTAAACATATTAAGATAATCACGATAAATATGAATTTCAAATGTTTCACACGAGCTGAGCAATTATTTCACGACCTGTCGTCGGAAGAAATTCAAAATATGTCCTATTTTCGAAAGTTGTTTTAACTTTTCTGATCGAGACAACGTGTAACTGTTCTATAAGTCTGCAAGGCAAGTAGTCCTATAATAACAACAGATTTTCAACTAGTGGGGGCGCCACTCACGACTAGTCGCCCCCACTTGTTTTGTCTCATATATGCGGTGAACGTGATCCTTTTAAACACTGCATTATTGATTGAAAGGTTCACCTCATTCTATAATTATTAGATAAAAACGAAGAGAATTTTCAAAAAAATCCGAAAACAACAGTTGTGGGACTAATTCAATTCAGTTACATCTACATATGCGATAAATTCATCACAATTAGAGAAGAATGGGGCATGATTCCCGAGTACTTATCAGTTTGCGTCCGTTCGTAGATGCGCTAATCTAGAATTCTAGGATTTAAGTTTGAATAAATTCTTCGTGCTGCAATAAAAGTTGACATATCACGAATAAACTGAAGATTTTGAAAAAAGCTTTCAAAGTCTCAGTGCAGGTGAGCGGCTAGTCGCTCGTCGGCACCCCTCTGGAGCGCCACTCACGGCTAGCCGCTCCCAAATTGAGAATCAATTCAACCACACGATGCCTATAGCCTATTCGTAATAATATCTCACATAACCATACGATACATCTAACACTATAAACATCATCGAATGGTACCCTCAAAAAATTTCCCTACAAAGCATTTCTATCAAGAAAATGCGACGATCTAAACAGCTCCTAATCCATTATAAACCTCTTTGAGGTACAAAATTTCAACAAACTGGCAACGCCATCATGTTCCCCGACCCCGACTACCTTCGGTCAACCCTTACAAAAAAACTATTCTTTTTCTAAAAAAGTCTCTCTACCTAAAAAACGAAAAAGCGAAATTTCGAAAACCTGACAACGCCATCGTGTTCCCCGACCCCGATTACCTTCGGTCAAACCTTTCCCTACAGTATATTGTTTGAGGTTAGCTAAGTTTATGCATCTGCTTTCCTATTGGACGAACGAACGAACGCAATTAGCTCTTTTTTCGTAATACCCTCCTTTCAGTAGAGGGAATATAGATAGTTGTGGAATAATTTAGGTGGCTTAGAGATGATGTCTATGTTTGAATTATAAAGTATATAAATAGGATAAAATTAAAATTTTTACTTTTTTGCCGCACTTTTATGACAGCCAAACTTTGAATTATAAAATTTATAAATGTTGTAAAATTTTATCATTTGCCTTTTGCTGTAACTATATGAGTGCCCGATTATTTTATTTTCGAAGTGATATTGTGTAGTTGAAGACAAAAACAAATTGTCAGGTTTTTCTCTATTCAGTCAATCATAGAATTGAACTTAGGAGATCACACTTTAACATCATTTACACATAATGTTGAATTTACTACTACGCGCAGCTTTCAGGGTTCAGAAATCAAAGTGTTAAATATTTTAGGAAAATGAGTCAAATGATTGCCTTAGTAGTATAGAAAAGGATTTATCCCAACAAAACATGTTAAACTGTTGCATGACCCCAGGTCGATCAACTTGTGTCATACACGGTTGTTTGGCCATAATTTATCGCCGTTTGGTATGCACCGTATTACGGTCGTTTTGCATCGTGCCATAAACGATCGTATACGGCCGGATACTGAAATATCCGACCACATTATGGCCGTTAGTAACCGTTTACGACACGACGATTTGCGGTCGAACACGTTATAGAATGGTAGTATATGCGGCCGTATGCGACCGTTTACGATTGTATCAGGTTGTCGTAATGTTCGACCTGGGACATGATATTTTATACTTTGAGAAAGTGAACTCAGCACAACTAAGCATGATCGTAAACTACTGTCCCAGTTACTTTGTTCACTATTTGGTATACGCTACACACTGGAAACTGTTTTAAGTTTCGTATACCAATAACACACCCTCACAACAGTGTTGGGCAATTGAAAGGCTTTTTTAAGAGTTTCTTATGGTATTACAAAATCATTACGAATATCTATGAAGCGCCCAAGAAAATATTTTGAGGGTTTGGTACTATATGCGGAACCCATTTTAAATTTCATATATCAAAATTGTTTTTCAGTGAATTGCGACCCTTTTTCAACAAATCTTGAATGATCTTCCATTGTAAGTGTTTGCCGATTTTGATCACTAATCAGTTAAGGAGGGAAATTCTGAAATAATTCACCCTTGTTCAGTATACTATCTTTTATCTAAAAATATTGAACTATTTCATAAAAAGAGTGTGAATGTTGCTCTTCTCTACAAGCACGCCCTCAGACATACTCACTCACATCTTTTACTCTTTTCAAAGTTCTGATTTCAATAATTCTATCATTTGGACTTGAATATTTCGCAATTTTTTTATGTACTCTAAGCCAAGTTTCAATCCAGTGAAACAAGCAAAAGTTCGCAAATATAGCTTTATTGTGAATAAAAATCAATAGATAGTAAACTGATGGTCTATCATATGTTGTATTTTTCTGCTAACTATTAGCTTGCTTAAAAATTTGAAAAGACCATGGCAATCGTTTTTCTTCCACCACCAAATATTTTGAACCAAAAGTAGTTTTGGCTGCTTGCGCGTGGCCTGTGTCATAAATAATCACAGCCCAGTATTTGCCATAAGTTTCATCAAGCCAGTCGCTAACTACTTTTGCGACTTCGAACTTTTCTGAACTTCCATGCATATCAATCGCAGTACTTATTGTGCTCAATATATTTGTTTTCATTATATCAGTGATTCCACTATCTTGTTTTCGAATTTCCCATCTCGCCATAGTAATTGGTTTTAAATAGCTATGTATCTAAAATAAGAAATTTCGTTATTGAAAGAATAACACTATTCGCAGGAAAATAGTCCCGTTTTTTTGGTTCATCTACTGACGATTATTACACGCTCAATGAACGAAAAACATATAGAGTCGAGACCCAAACACATCAATGATACCAAAGAAATTTTTGTTATTTAGAATATTTAGAATGAAGATCGATCAAAACTAATCTGTAGTGAAATATGTCGAATGGATGCCCAGATATGACTGATTTCATCCTTACGTTTTACTCCGGTTACTTAAGTTTGAATATACTCAAACAAAGATCATTCATATTAAGCATGCTAATTTTCAAAGAAGAAATATTACTATTAAATGAACTGGAAATACAAAACATTACATTTATGTTTAAGATCAGCCGTGCCGTGAATTTCAATAAAATGTACATTCACTATTGATTCGTCCTTTTGCATTGTTTCCATAAACATTCTGAATTAAAATTATTGAAGTTTATGAAGATTTCGTTGAAAACGTATATCATGACGACATATAAGTAGCTGCAAAATCTAATTAAGAAGTAAAACACATCCTTCGAGTTTCATATTTTTCTCAAATATTATCTTCGAAGCAAGATTAACAAAAATATTAGCCAACTCACATCAGTTATTTGCGTAAGACATACTTAGAAAACAGCTACAGTGAAATTTATATCCTTTATTTTTAGAAGCAAAAATATTCTGAAGGATTCAAATGCAAAACCTATTGGCTCAGTGAAGTACATTTTTCTAATTTTCATCAGCCTTTCTGTGATGGAACCGGTTTTTGAAAGTAAAATAAATCTATACAGTGTTAAATCTCAAATAAAAATAAATCATTTATCTAAATTGCAGTGTTTTCCTGAAGAGTAAGCTGGACGCAAAAAAATCCTCTTCTGCATTCAAAACAGGAAGAAATCAAGTGAACAGGAAATTTTCGTCGCACTAGTGTTGAGAAATATTTCGATGGTACATACTAGGTAAAAACGTGTTACCTTAGTTCGGATCTCCAAGAATTTAAGGAACTGTAGCTAAATGAGAATTATGTTTCCAATGTACATTCCAGTGGTGGATGACTGTGGCAAAATCCTTAAATTTCGGTAAACGATGAAAACTAAACAGATCAAACCTCGTTTATTGAAACGCGTGTCTTATAGCGTTGCTTGCTTTGGCACTTTTAGTGCTTGAAATTTATAGAATGAAATCTAATATACAAACCTTACGCGTAACACTGTTTGTTCAGTGTTCGTCAATAAGAACGTTACGTTTTTAAAAACATGAATAGTATTTGTTTATGATGCGTGCGTAATTTTGCATACGACTGAAGAGTCTTGAATAAATATGCCGATAAATGTTTTGGTGAGAGAAAAAAAGAATATATTTATCCATTTTTTATTTTTCTTCCTTATCTTCCGAGCAAGCATAGAATCACATTTGAGACAAACGAAAAATGATGCCTTATATTAATAGCTACAAAGTGAGAGTATTGCAGTGGCAACTGCCTAGAAAATTTTCCAAGCCCTCAGTGAGTTGTGTTTCAGGAAATCCGGAGATATGTATTAATTTTCTAGAGACGAACGATAAAAAGCACATGCCAGCCAATCAGTGCTTTCACCAATAAGTAAAAAACGAAAACTTCTCCAAAATACGAGTGTGCAAATGTATTCCGTTCCTTGGGAGCGGAATCTTAGACAACGAAAAACTTCAAACGGGAAAAGAGGATCCTGGCATCCAATAGTAATATAGGGCATAGACAGCGGAACGTTCCTAACTCAGAGGGAGGGGTCAACATTTTTTTAAAACAGCCATAGAAAGCCGTCGTTGGGAGAAAAAACAAACTTTTCATTCAAAACATTTTCTGCCCTGACCCATTTGCATGCCTGCAAAACAATCGAAGATTCTATTACTTTAGCTAAAGCGTTTTTCCAAAAATTGAATCCACGCGTTGTCAATAAATCATCAGGCACTTTATTTGCATGTGGATGATAGCCATCCTGAGAAGCATTTCGACAATAATAGCAGTAAACCTTTCCATGACTCTAATGTAAAACAAATAATGCTGAGTAGCTTTATAGTTGTCATTTTGCTTGTAGAAAATTTTCTTTGGTTTTCTAACTTGGCAATACGAAAGACAATCGTGTTTGTTGAACCATCCTAATTGACATTTACGTTTATCATTTGTTGATTTAAAATGTGATAAATTCCCGGAAGCATACCCAGGTCGATCATTCCGGTTACCGGATACTGTAAGAATCGACTGGAAAGATGGGAAAAAATCACCGTATTCCGGAGGAAAACACGGTAAATCGCTGGAACCTGGAAGCAGTATTCCGATCGGACGAATTTCGGAGTTTCCCCCGATGATTTACTGTCGGTTCCTACCGGAAAAAATCCGGGAACTTTCTGCCAGTTCTGGTGACATAAATTCTTGAACTGGATTCACGTTTTCTTCATCATCAACTAGATCAATTGGATTATTTGAGTTATCTGCATGATTTCTAGCAGCTTCACATGTTTTCTGGTTTTTGCTTTGAAAACAAGATCCAATTTGACGCTGTTTTCTTGATGTTGGCGTCGACATTAATCTTTTTACGAAGCTTAGTGTTTTTTTTTAATCATTTCAGCATCTTTCGGAAGTAAAATACAGAACATACTACAAATAAAAACACGTAGACAACATGAATGTATTCTATGCGTTGATTATTCCCCTTTATCTTCGTAAAGAAATCCTAGTGTTAATAAATGACGATGTTTAAAAAACGTACAAACAGTTACTTATTAAACATATAATCACGGTGAAATCTGTATTGTTTTTCAAAAATCTGAGCTCCTCCTAGCCTAAGGGCTCCGCTGCCTATGATATAGGAGTGTCCAGCTCGACCTATTCTCTTTGATAACAATTGGTGGGGTGAAATATATTGAATAAAATAATCAGAAGTTCATCATAGAATCTCTTCAGGTATTAAATAGCATTTCGGTTGAGGCGATTTTCATTTAATGTGCATTAACAAGAAATAGAAACTTGTAAAATGCGTTGGTTTTCTTGGTTTTTATTCTTGAGATATCCTAATTTCACAAGTTTTGTAAACATAAAGACATGGTCTGCCTCAGATCGCATTGCAAATTAACTTCTGAGTTTCAACTCTTACCTACATCAAAGAAATTTAATGAATAAGATCAGCTCTTTTAGTGCGTTTTAGTATTTCTAGTATTCACATTCTACAGACTTGAATGCAAGTGGAAATGTTTGTACAAAAATGAATGTATGCTATTTTTGAAGTTCGTTTTATTCTTCATTCATTTTTATTGATTGGTAGATGGACGAAAAGAAGATAGCTCTATACCAATATCAATCGATTCATATGATAAATCACACGTTACATCTTTATAATTTCAATTTATCTCTAAAACTCTGATACAGATTATGATTTTCTGTATCTTCATTAGGTGGAGGATATGCAATCAACTATTGTTGTTTTAAATTATTTATTATCAGCATATATTGTTCTGGTGCAGTAATTTGATTTTCTTTCAATTCGATCTTCATTTTTAACATGAAGTCCGATGAATAGTCTATTTGATCTCGCCAAGAAATCAATGAAAATTATTCAACGAATTTAAATTTATAATTTTACTGAAAACTACTTGTGTTGATGAACAACCGTCTATATTATCGCAAAAAAAAAGTCGAAATTTATTCTTGAGTATTAAATATACTTCAGCATCGTGAGTATCGATAGAAAACAACCAAATAGTACAGAGCGTATATAAAAAAAAATAATATCGCTGAATATAAAGTCAAAAAAGAAAAATATCTATCCTATATGTATATATACACGGGTATAAATAAATCAGTTCATATAAAAAAATATACATATCTATTTACACGACATTTTATGAATAACATACACCAAGATGGCATGCTTCGCATAGAAAAGGATTATGTTTTCGATGCATATTTCCTTCTCGTTGCAATAAACGTCGAACTGGTTTTCTTCCATTATGCGTTAATTCCCAATAGATTGATGGGAATGCATAGGGAAAATAATGTTCAAAAATAGTAGACGCTAAGTTTTTCATCACACGACAAATTTCATCTAAATACCCAAAAATAGAAGTGTAAAATTTTCAAAATAAAATATGTCTATATTACCATAGTACCACAATGGATATACGGTTGAATAACAATATTGACATTGTTGTGTATAGAGTTTTAATAGAACAATGCCACCTTGACTGGGCTTCGATATATAAAATGAGCAACGAGCTCGCATTGACGTCCAACAATGTCCGCATGTGTCGCATTTAAATTGAGCTTTTGCATTATCCAATCGTAATATTGAATAATGTGCCTCTAACGCGCGAGGACATATTGAACGATCTTCAAGGAGTATAAGGCGATAGTCTAAATTATATGTCATAGCTGTAGCCATTATTAATCGGCCGAATTCGCCATGCCAAGCCCAAGCAGTATTTTCGCAAAAGAATTTTTTATCGTTATCCGATATCATTGATGCCATATGAGCTAAAACACACAGTACGATGAAGAAAAGAATTTTTGGTTTCTTTGTTTTACATACCATCTTTGGTAATGGTTGTTGGTGTTGTTTGTTGTTCATTTAATAGTGAAAAACAATTTTGATCAATATCAAAGTCACATTCATCGGAAATAGTACTTTCATTATCGCTATAATCGTAATCATCACCAAGACTAACACCGGAATCTTTCGAAGTAAATCGAGGAATTTTTTGTGTGCCATCAACGAGAATAAAGCTATTTGTTGCTGTAGATAGTGGGTAATTTTGAAATTTTTCCATTAGAATTGTATACGAATATATGTATATGTGTCTATGCGAAGAAGAATAGATGGAAATGATTTCAATTCATAGATTGTAAAATTTCTTTTCTTTTCGTCCTTTCTTTCCACATCCAGGGTTCATGAAATAGAGCTATTCTTCTATATGATACGATAATTGAACCTTTGGTTATGAATAAAACAAGATAAACATGGGATCGTCCAATTAGTTGATTTATAAAGGGCGGTCACAGTATTTTGTCAATATTTCTTCCAATTTCCATTGTTTATGACAATATTTTTTCCCTAATAGTACTGCAAAGATGCAGCTGAGAACTTTAGAAAGAACATATAAACTAAACTTTTGATAGAAGATTCAGTTTGTAGTTGATTAAAGAAAACTAAGGTTTTGTTGTACAAATGCTTGAAAATATAATTAAAATATTGTCTTTTCACATTAGAAATCGATCCTAGCAGTAGTCTTATCCATTCAATTAGTGCATAGGCTGTAAAACATTTTCCGATTGTTAGAGATGTCTTTCTTTCAAATATTTTGATCTCAAGGTGACTTTTTCAAAAGTTCGCCGTTTGAAAATGATTAGATATAAATAATTTGCTAGAGATATTTTGATAGTTATAGCGATAATGATGTATATTGAGCTACAAACAGTTGGCTTTAAGCTACGACATAAAAAGGACAAGTTTTGCTACGATAGGGGACAACAAAATGTTTGCACACGGCACTACAGATGATTAAATATGAATGTCTTCGGTGTTTGTTTGATTGAGCAAATTGATTATCATTCATTTAAAGTCAATTAATTCGACATCGAAAATCAATGTAGATTTAGCTGGAATTAATCCATTGCCAACACTTTCGTTGCCTATTTATTAAAAAAAAAAGGTTAAATTTCAATTAAAATATTTATTTATTACCATAAGCATAATCAGGTGGGCATGTAATTGTAGCACGTTCGCCTTTTGACATTTGAGCAACACCTAAATCCCATCCCTATAAATATATATATATATATATTTCTTTTTTAAGTATAATGTTTAATTCAATTGATTTCTATCTTACTTTAATAACCTCTCCCTTGCCAAGATTGAATTCAAATGGTCGATTACGATCACGCGATGAATCAAATTTCTTTCCATTGGTTAATGTTCCTATTTTTTAAGAAATATATTGAAAAATCAAAATTATATGAATTTCTAACCTGTATAATGAACACGAACACGTTGACCTGCTGATGGTTTTTGACCTAAAACACATCGGGAAAAAATTAAGTTTGCTTTTGATGTGATTCGCATCAGCTACTAACCATTTCCACCTGAGATTGTTTCTACTTTAAATCCTGATGACATCTTCGTAACTAGTCTAGAAAGAATTAAACTGTATGGGAATAAATAATATATGTGTTCAGATGTATATATATAAATATAAATATGTCGTTGTTCTTTTTTTTTTCTTTCGTGTCAATAGGAAATATTTACATTAAAAATAAAGAAATAAGAGAAATTCATAAAAGAAAAACCGGTTTTTGTTTTACGAGCTTGCTAGAATATTAATAAAAGCAAACACTAAAGTAAATTATTAAGAAACACTCGTAATTGATTGATTCGGACCACGCATAGTAAAAAGAACTGAATCAAGCCATTTCAACGGGCCATCTAAAAATATTTCAATCCAACATGGTGTATTAGTAACGGATTTTCGTCGATAGTCTACACCCCATCCTTTCACCAAACTCATTCGAATGATACACATTTTTGTTAAATTATAAACCGATTCATAACCTTCGTGAATAGCACTTGCTAATATTTGAGTGAATTCATCATTATCAAAGATCTGTAGTCTAACATCTAATCGAAACAGAAAAAAAAATTCTTTTTTTATTTAATAGTAAAGAGAAAAATTTACTTGGAGGAATTTTACAAACAGTTGCTGGATGCCATGAGAATCTTTTATTTGCAATCGGACTTTGAACAAAAACAGGATTAGCCGATAGACACTCAGCAAATACGTTTCCACGTATATGATATAATTTTACTCCACGACCAATAGAACGACGTACTTCATGAGTTTCTAAAGTACGGTCAATATTGGTTAAGCCACCTAGGCAAAATCGATCCGCATTGGATGGATGCGTAAAACCATCAATAATAACATGAGATTGTGTTGCTGGATATTGTTCACCAACGCGAGCAGAAAATTCATAATAAGATAACCGACACCATTCACGAGGTTCTTGCAATTCGACTTGTTCAGATGCAAAACTGACTTCTTGGGGAGGATTCGATTGAGCAATTAGAATAATATCTAAATCCATTGGTGTTACCGTTTCAACATTTTCATCTTTATTCACACCGCTACATGGTGAATGGAATGAATCTAGACGAGAAAAAGAAACTTGATTAGTTTTGTATGAACAATGGAGGCTTACGAATTTATTGAAAGGCAACTCGTAGTACTATTAGTTCGTGTTTATATCGCGACTTTTTGTTTTTGTTTTAATCTTAGCTGAACATATACAGAAGAGAAGTCATTCAACAAAACGTTAAATGATCCATATATGGTCTTAATCAACGAATCCATTGTGAATAGGATTATCAGCATATATGAAAATCGCTGGGGTCGATTCGAACCCGAGTTCTTTCGTTTCGAGTCGATTTTATCAACTGATTTAGATTTTAAGTTTACCTTGTGAAGCAATACTGTCAGGTGATAATGATGGTGATGATTGTGACTGAAATGGTGTTTCATAGGTTCTGTTTTCTGGAACTTGATTAGCTGCCGCATCACTTATTGATGGTGGACGTATGTCAGGTATACTTTGTACGGCTTCAGGAGGCAAACGTGAAACCTGAACAGAGTAAGTGCCTAGGAGAAAATTTTTGTTTTGAATTTTTTGCAAAATACCAATCATTGACTTACTTGGTACACGTTCATAATGATACGGATTAACACAAATATTGTCAAGTCCATAATGAAAAGCATTTGGACAATAGTCAACAGGTTTAAGTTCGCCTTGATTTAATAAATCCGACCAACGCCAAAGACGGCAAGAATCAATTACCGGATTTAATCTTGACGATTGTTCCTGCGTATCATCAGATGACCTACAAGAAACAAAAGTCGACATTTTGAGTGCGAAATCATATCGTAGGTGCAATCTAATGTCTACGCTTGAGAATTGTTATGTGATCTAGTGGATAGGTCGGTGAGGGTGTGTCAGTATTAAGAAGTCAAATTTATTTTTAAACAGAGCTCCGCTTACAAGACTAAACATTGATGATTTTAAAATGACTAAGATTGTCTTCTTCTGAAACAGAGCTCGTACTTTATGACTATGTATAAAAAAAAAGCTATTTATCAAAGGCATATGCTGCTCATGTCTTCTGGGAAATATGGAGTATGATTGATAATCTGTATGAATTCTTGTTGCTTACTATGCCGACGTTAAGTCATAATAAATCGCTCCCTGTAGAATGCTAGAACATTAGTTGTTAACTCACTTTCGTATAATAACACATCGTGTTGTTGAATCTTTATGTAGAACAGCTCGTTCTAATGCTTCAACTGAACTATTGCGTCTCGGTTTGGGGATTTTTTTTAATAAATTTTTGATTTTTCTTATCGATTGTTCATTCAAATCGATTGGATTCACATTTGATGACGATGGAGATGCCAGATTATTTTGATTATTTTGTTGTTGTTGTTGATAATGAACACATAGTTCCAGTAAACGTTGAACTACCGGCGAAACGGAACGTCGATTTCGTACAGAGTTTATAAAAGATGCCACTCGGTTCGATGCTGATGAAGTGTTTGACATTATTTTTTTAAATTTACTTGTAGTCTACAAATAAACACACATAGGAATTGATGTCGTTTATATTTTATACTTATTTACTACAAATAAAAGAATTCGGCGAAAATCTTAGGATTTAAGATAACAAATATTACGCATTTAAATTACAGTAAAATTAATAATGATATAGTAAGCCATGTCTTCTTTTCTTTCTATCTTAATTAGTTGTAATTGAGAAGTTTTCGGTTTTTCTTAGTACATTTTTCTCTTCTTCTTCTAAAGAATAGGATTAACATAAACTGATAAGAGAAAATCGTAACGGTTATAGTGAGAGGAAAAAGTACTATTTTGTTTTTTTTGCTAATTTAGTTTCTTTCGACGTTTTCATCCTAAGGTACATGAGGAAAAATATAAGTAACATGAGACGTTTTATCAAGGAGGAATAGATTTTGGTCTGTACTAAAAGCACATAATAGACTGGCTGCTTTTTTCCCTCATTGCTTATAACAAGATTATGCTTTGAAGTTGCGTGTCTCAGTCGCAGATAAAGAAAAACCTTGAAATACTTGTCATATTTTACTATTTTTTTTTGCTCGTATTTTTGTGTCAATAAGAGCGTAGATAGACTTGTGCTCAGACATGCATTTGGCATGTTACATTGATAATAATGAAAAACAGAATAACAATATTTTCTTAAAATGAGAGGACAAAGAGACGTTCGTCGACTGGTCATACAGCAGCAGCTTGTAAGATCATTAAAAATTTACATTTCAAGAAAAACAATCTATTTTCAAGCAGAAGACGCAAGTAATTAAATGATGCCATGCTCATTTTACCAGTGCAAAGCATCTATTTCCAGTATATAGATATGACATTGTATAAGGACCAAGGAAAAAGAAATATGCAATGATACGACAGTCATCCTTCATCATCTGTCTACCTGTTCTTTTCTCGTTTCCAGATAATCTTCTATTCAAATGATTATTTACAAGTTTTGAGAATCATGAACATAATATGCATTTGTTGTTAATCTTCATGTTTATGCGTGGAACTAATAGCCGGCTTATTTCTAAAACTAATATTTATCTATGATTGTCATGACTTATTCATTTAAACATTATAATAACAGAAACTATCGACGATGAAATGATCTGACGAACTTTATTTAAACAAAAGAAAGGCTTAGAAAAGTCGAGGGTTTCTACGAATGGAGTTTGCATGAACAAAGAAAAATTAAATTAACCTATAAAGCTTGGCAACCCGAGCTCTTTTTCCGCCCTGGCGAAGTTCAATCTTCGAATAGAAGCACTTCAATCTGATGTAGGCTTCAGGGTATAGTGAATAGAGCATGATAGGCTCTGACAGAGAGAATATGCTTATTTTATCATCTGAAAAAGGCGAGTAGCACTTAAGAGAATTTTGTAGAAATACTAATCTATTTTTAGTGACAACATTATTATTGCAAAAATAAAATGCATGTTTTTCAAGAATCTCTCTCTATTTGTCACTCTCGGCTTTCAAAATAAAAGAGCTGCACAATCTGACATTTTCTTATTGAAATTATAATTAATTCTAGTGCAAAAAAAACAGCTCATAGAACAATTTCCTGTTGGCAAATTCACTTGCTTTTGGAGAAATATCTCATAAAAACATGATGATGTTCAGCTGCGAAATTGTGTCATCGTCCTCAGGTAGCTCGAACCAGCAGAAATATTCTCGGGCGAAAAAGTGATTTATGAAAAAGAAAACTTATTGAACCTATCGGCAAACTCATGATCGATTATATTAGCAAATATTACTATTTAAATAAGCCTAATCTATTTGATTACACGAGAAAATTAAACTTACAGATAATAAGAAGATGTTTCAAAGCTAGTGTTTCCTTTGTAAAGGAAGTATATGTATAGATTATATCAATAATAGAATATCTAGAAAAAAACAAATATCGGATTTGTATTTTATTGATGTTTTTGTTTTTCACTAAGCGAATTTTGATGTTACACTATTCGTCCTTTCATAAATAAAAAATAACAGATTCTTTTTTTGCGTGTGCATATCAACAAACAACAAGGAAAAAATGATAATAATAGTAGTGATAGATGGTAAAATGGTTGTTTGTTGTAAAATTGGCTTAATAACTGATAACTTGATTTTTCTTCTTTTTTTCAGCGCCCAATTCGAAGTGTTTGGTGCGTTTAATAGCTAATTGTTTCTTAAATTTACATTCCGTACATTCCATACGTAATACAATTTTCTTGGTTGTCTTGGCTTTTTTGTGAAAGACAGGCTTCTTTTGTCCACCATAGCCTTTTTGTTTCATATCGTAACGTCGTTTACCTTGAGCATGAACACTATCTTTGCCTTTTTTGTATTGTGATACTTTGTGAACAGTGTGTTTCTTGCAACCTTTACCCTTGCAAAATGTACGACGTAATTTTGGCACGTTGACCATGATTAATTTTTTATCTAGAATTATTATTTCAATAGAATATATGTTTACAGATAAATATATATTTCTATATGTGTATATATATATATATATACAAATTTTGTGATAAATAAAAATAAACAAATATACAATACTAAAAGCGACTAAATAAAATAAAAGTGTGTGATTCAAATAAATAATTTTCATTCAATTATTTGCTAGACATAGTATCAAGTGCTGGCAGTTGTTGAAGAACATTATCTAACCATTGCATTGGACCATTCAAATGAATTTCTACCCAACATGGTGTACTCATCACTGTGCGTCGACTAAAAATTTAAAAATAAAAGCTAACTATAAATAAGAATGTCAATATTCGACGAATCATTGAATGTCTGATAAAAACAAAAAAGAAGATGTGAAATTATATTTACCGGTATTCTTCACCCCATCCTTTCACAAAACTCATACGAATAGCACATATTCGTGTGAGATTATACACAGCTTCGTAGCCATATTGAATTGTATTAGATAAAATCCGTGCAAATTCTGTAGTACTAAAGATTTTCAAATTACAACCTACAAATAATAAAAAATTTCCTCTAGTTTTCATAATAAAAGTCTAAATTAGCTAATGCATATCTCAGGTTTATTGCCCTGAAGTAAAAAATGTGCATAACAACAAGAAATTAGTTTGTTTAGAAAATGTTCTTAGTTTTTTCTTCTCTCATTATGATTTCCACACAGCAGCTCACATTTGTCTGGGAGTGTTCCTCATCCATCTTTAATTTGTTTTTTGCTTGAACAAGCATCTCAAAATGTAGACTGCCTGGGTGCTTTTTTTAAATTAAATTTTATTCTCATTGTAATTAGAAGAATATGACTACGACGAGCACATCTCTTTTTCTAAACTTTCGAACAACGAGGATTCCTTTCTAAAAATAAAAGAAGTACTTCATCACGTTCTTTGATATTAAAATTTGGACAGCCGAAACATTATTTCAAGAGTGAATTTTTTCTTTAATTAATACTTCAAATAGAAGACTCGGACAGATATGTTCACTGATTCTATCATCGATACTTCCGAATAGTAATGAATAAACAAAATATTTATATGGTGGGGTTTTTCCTTTATACAATGTCCTTGAAAATATGCTTTCTATGGTACACAAAACAGCTTTTATCGCCCACTTAATAAGCCATTTCAAGTGCGAGGTCTTCATTGCTTGTCGCATCACATTCATCAAGACAATAAACAAATTAAAAATCTTGGTGGGTCATTCTTTAGACAGATGAATGTCTTGTTTCTTGATTCAAATCTGATGATGTAATCTTAGTTAGGGAATTTTTGTTTTATGAGAAAAAAACTTACGTGGTGGTATTTTACAAACAGTAGCTGGGTGCCATTGGAATCTTTGATTACAACATGAACTTTGCACAAATATCGGTGAATCCGAATGACACTCAGCAAAAACTTCACCGCCAATATAATAGAGTCTGACACCATTTCCAAGCAATTTTCTACATGTTTCACTGTCATATGTTCGATTAACATTGGTTAATGATCCAAGACAAAATCTATCGGATGCATTTGGATCACAAAATCCATCAACAACAAGTGAATTTAATGACGCATGAAATATTTCACCAACGCGTTGATTTAATTCATAATATAGTATTGAACACCAAAATGGTGTTTCAACGTAGGATACTGCTGTTTTTGGTGTCATAGCTTCAGCATTATCTTGTATATTTGCTGGACTATTTATAGATGTACGTTGTTGATCAGATTCAGATACGCAATCCATAGGAATTCTTGAATCTAATTGTTCACGACGATATTCACTAGTCGTTGAATTAAATGCAGATCGATCGGAAACTGATACATAAACCGGTGGAATAACTAAGATACAAAACAGAATAAAATAAATAATAGAAGTTAACAAATAAATCAGAGATGTGTGGTTTTAATTTACTGGCCACTAAACTACGAGCGTGCACATTTCGGGCGATCTTTGCTCTATAACTTTAGAAGGAGTTTAAACTGAAGCGAAGCTACGTTTGTAAGGAAATTGACATTTTCAAGCAACATCTGTGTTTGAATAATTGTTCTATGAGTCAAAACAACTAATTTAGCTAGATCCAATGTCGTAGGTTATTTCGAAAGTCAGATGTCGCTATGCGTGAAGCTTTGCTTCAAGAATTTCAAAAGTAAATATTTGTAATCATGACGAGATAAATTACAATAAATAGATACTAAGATGTAATAATTACTAAATAACTGAACTTAATTCGCGTAACATATCCCTATAGACAAGGACGAAACAAATCGTTTTGCGCTCAAACTGTTGGACTACTAAAAATTCAATGATCCAGTTTTCTTATTTCGAAAAGTCAAAATAAGAGATTTCTTCATGGCTAATCGACTAATGAACATCATACGTAAAGCAATTGGCACCGTCTGCTGCATAATGTACTAAAATCAATATTTCAGCATGACAGCAGATATGAACGTCAATCTAATCTATGAGTCGTGCATCAATGACTCACTATTTAGTAGTTAAACCAATACTGTACGTCTCTAAAAACACATATATTCATTACATGGTGCAACCACTCGTTCATAATGATAAGGATTAACACATATTTGATCTTTTTCATGTTGAAATACATATGGACACGTATCGGCTGGTCGCAATTCAAGATGTGTATTTAAATCAGGCCAACGCCATATACGACAAAAAGCTACAATTGGTGTGGCATCACTAAATGCTCTCCGTACTATTGTTGATGGATTTGGCTCAACTAGTTTGTTTTGTGCATCTCTATAAACAGAAAAGAAATTTAATAAAAAAAAGTCATTCTGAAATTTTCTTGCTACCTTGGAATCGTAACACAACGGGTGTGTGACGTTTTTGTGGCTAATGCTGTTTGTAAATCATCTATCATAGATGTTTTAGTTAAATGTTTAATTAAACCTTTAATTGCTTTTTCTGACCATTTGTCTTCATTGGAATTTAATTGAATATTAATTCTGTGTTGTAATAAATTTTTTATTGCTTGTGAATATATAGAAAATGAAAACGGTAAATAAAATAAATTGCTCATTATTGAAATACATAAGGTGGTTTAACTAAATGAATCCAAATCCACGAGGCATTTTGAAATGATTCGTTCTTTTGACCTCTAGATGTTTGTTCTTCTCATCATACTTAACATGAAAATATTTTAATAAATAAATTTAATTTATTTCAATAGTTATTTGATTTTAAATGTTTTATTTGAAGTTCTAATTCGATTGTAATACAGAGGAGGTCCACACAGATAATGATTTTTATTCGTTTGAGCAATCGACCAATCAAAAAAAAAGATATTTTAAAGAGTCAACAATATCTATGAAAAATATTGTTCTATATCGATGAATTAAATCAGTTTAATAACGTAAAAGAAACACGACTAATTTTCAGAGTCTCACTCTATTGATTCATTCGATTTGCGAAAAAAAGGATTGGCAATAAAACGAATGAGAGACTAATTATTTTTCATAGTAAAACTAAAAATCTATCAAAAAATGCCCGGGCCATTATAGCCAATTCTTATTGCTCGTCGAGTTTCATTATACTCACTATTAATCTACTTAATCAATGATTTTCTTGAGAAAAAAAAACAGGCTGAAAATCTGACTTCATGAGATGATTTGTCTCGTATCAAGCTACAATTTAAAATTAGTTGTCTCTCTGACAAAGTGATGGAGGTATTTCAGAAATTAGCGACACTAAGAGCATAAATAAGTATGTTCGCCATTTGATGTTGATTTGATGATTTTTCTCGATTTGTCGGTAGACTTTATAGCTCAAGTCACTGTTTCAGATCAGTATAAAAGTAAAAAGTAAAATAATGGCGTCAAATGAAGATGAAAATGATCATCAAATACAACAGATGAATGATGCGACTAAAGCAGTGGGTACTGATCCATCATTTCTTGATACACAACAGAAAAAAAAAAGAAAAAACAGTTCATGAAATACAGCATTCATTTGAGATGCGCAGCATTCATAAAGGTCCAGTAAGTTTGTATTTCTCTTCAAATTGCTTCAAATTCTTTTCATTATTTTTCAGAGTACCGAGATGAACTAATCCGACATCGGATTCCATCGGATCTCTTAGGATCCAACATTCCGACAAAAACCCGGCGGATTCCTGGTTGAGGAATCACTGTCGGATCCGACGGACAAAATCAATTTTCTTAATCAGGAGTGAATAAGCATCTGATACCATTAAAATACAAGGGTTGTATGCTAGCGTCGGTTTCCGTTGAATTCCGACACAGGTTTTTCTCGGATTCCAGCGGCAGGGATCCGACTGTAAATCCGTTTCCAGGAATCCAACGGAATTTCATCGGTTTTATTAACATTTTAATGATATCAGATAGGATTCCCTCTGGGATCTTATCGGATCCTACTATCGGAATGATTCTTCTGGGGTAATAGTACACTAACAAACTTACCATTGTCATTATCATTTAATAGTGATTCACTTGATCGTGTAGAAGATTCTCCATTTTGGTTAAAGGAAAAATATATTGAAGATCATCATCTTAAAGAAGAAATTTTAGAAGATGATTTTAATATATCGATGGAACGAAGTGATAATTTAGGTCAACAAAGTGAAAAAAACAATGAATGATAATCAATCACTACAAACAGATTTAAGTAAGTTTCCCAAATTGTCTTACGATTAATTTTTCTACACTAATAAAAAATTGCTCATTTGAATAAGAAATCTTCCAATTAGTATTGCATATATTAGCTGAAAGTGTATATTCCAAAATATCTTATTACTAAATGGTCCTGATGTATTAAAGAAATGATTTTTTTCTACTAATTGAATATATATATGAATTTATTAACATAGACATAGTTTTCACTTGGCTTTGGTAAGAGGGAAAAAATTAAGGGAGAAAGTCTTCCAAGGCTAGAGAGAAACTTTTTTTGCATTGTTCTTTTTATAGTCAAATATATTTTCAGTTGAAACCTATCTTCACGGTCTCATTGCCAATCTGATCAATATTTTCTTCGGTATTTTTTGTGTTGATAAATTTGTCGGAAAAAATTCAGATCATTGAAAAAAAGTTTATTTTTCTACACAAAAATGGTTGATATCAATAATTTCTTTCAAAGAATAGTGTAGTGTTTTGCGTAATTTTCATCCCCTCCACCATCATTACTTTTATGTATGTAAAATGCGTTCCAAAATGTTTGCAACATAGGTTGTTGTCCAAATATCTCTGCACATACAAATGATAAAATCTTATTCATTTTCAAAAGATACTCCGTAAAAAGCTATGCAAAATATATAAGAAGGAATTTGTATTGATTGATTCTGATGATTTCTGCTATACTTAAAATTTAAAAAAAAATTTACATGATAGCGCTATTTCCCGCCGTATTTAATATAATAAAAACGCGGAAACATCGGATTTGCATCCGATTGTTATGTGTACTGCAAAAACTGAGTCGATTTATATATGTTGTGAATGATACTGAAAAATGTTTTTTTTTGAAAAAATCCCTGTACCCCCCCCCTCAGGGATGGTCTGGTCAATAATGACAATTTTTTCGATAACTCAGCCATTTCTTGACGGATCCCTCTCATCTTCGAACTCGACCGAGATATTGATGAGATAACGCTATGTACAAAATTGCATGACAATCGCATCAGCCTTTCAGGAGTTATCGTGTAAACGGCCGGACGGACACACTGAGCGATTCTATAGTGTACTCACTTTTTCTTTTGAGTACACAAAAACGTATCGAACACTTTTGATTTGCGATAGACATTAGTTTATACAATTTTCGTAGAGCGTTCGACAACCAACTTTTGAAAACAATCAAGGTGATATCGTTTTCTGAAGTTGAAATACATGCAAAATAAAAGTCATCCAAACATTTTATCTTATTAAATTGTGTGAAATCGTTTTTTTCTAGTACTACAAAAAATGATTGATGTATTGAACAAATTTGAAGAAAAAATTCAAGATAAGATTGGTCGTTTGGAATCGAAATTCGATCAAAAGTTCGACCGATTATCTCAAAAGGTTGACAATCTTTATGAGCGTGGTGCTGCATCTTCCATATTGTTCCACTTCAACACCCATCATTATCTCGATGCACCATTTTCACCAACGAGTCGATTATTTGATTCTCATTTTTCAGAGAAGTCAAAAGTGTCATTTGGATTTTTTGCTCAAGAAATTCATAAGCGGTATTCTCATTTGTGGACAAATATTTATGAACAAATGGATGTATCTTTACGACCGAAACAAATCGAAGTCGATGTACTTGGATTTGCCTATGAAAAAACTAGTAAAAAAAACCTATTTTCACTTCACCGAAGATGGAACCATTACAAGCAAATTCGTCTTATTCGTTTTTAAAACCATTTAAAGCTAACACAATAATGATTGGCGAAGTAACTACATCAATTATTGATTTTGATCATCAATATTTGGTTCAACTTGAACAGGTATGGGTTCTTCCTCTTCTCTCCCTAATATTATTGGTTTTTCTTGTGATTATTGTAGGCCAATTCAAAATTATAAAATATGAATAAACCAACTTATACACTGTGCCGAAAATTAATGCAACTAATACTTAACTTTATTCTACTTTATTTTAATGGTGCAAAATTAGAAAATCTACTTGTTGCATTAGTCGGCAGATTTCATCATCGACATTCTGCTCAACAAATATACAAGTTGTTATATCAATCAACGTTTTCAAACAAAATACCACTCTTGAACCAATTATATCAACTTGAACATGAACAAAAAATCAAACAATTATATTTTATTTCATGAACTATGAAGTTCGTTTTAATTTTTTTTATTGATGTACTCATTTTCCTCTCGCTCTGTATCTCATTTGATTTCTCAGGTTTTTCACTTTTATCTTACTATAATTTTTTTCTTCATTAGATTCATTTGTAGGAACTATGAAATCGTTTTGATTATGTTCATGTCAAAACGATTCATATGTATCTGTTAATAAATCATCATTATATACGTATATATATATATATATATCACTATCACTAATGAAATCATATTTAATTGAATCTAGTGGAAAAATAAAAAATAAATTACATTTATAATTACTGAACAAATTTTTACAGGTAATATTGAAATATCTGATAAAGGTGTATTACCAATATTTACATATCACTATTCATATTTCTTTCTTGTTTTAAATAAGATTCAATACTAAAACTTACATTGGATGCGAATGTCATCGTTAGACATTACTTACTTATTTTAAAACAATGTCAACGAATAAGCAAAACAAAAAAAGCGCTGCACATTTTCAAACTCACTACTTATACAGATAAAAACATAATGTATGATGAATGATACTTCTGTATATACAGTTATTCATTCTACTTTTACTTAAGATAAGAATAAATGAAATAATTTATCTATTTGTTTTTAATTGAATTTATTTATTATTTTATTCAATTGATTGGTAAAAAATTAAAACAAACAAACAAACAACGTAAATAAGTTCCATAAAAATTCTTCTATCTAATAATAATAATAATAATAATAATAATAATAATAATAATAATAATAAAAGAAGTAACTGGTGAGAGTTATATCTATAATAACATTAATTCTATATAAATATTGGAAGAAAATTTTTACCGAAATAAAAAGAGATCTATCTTGGCTTACTGGAGACATAAATATGCATATGAAAGACGAGAAAAATTAATTTGCTGTTAATAATAATTGCTTCATACGTATTTGAAATAAAACATATTGACGATGATAATGTCTTGCTAATTGTAATGCTTGTTGAGCATCATTTTTTCTTGCAAGTCGTGCAAAATAACATCCGATCTGATCATCATTATCAACATTTGATGTTGATATATGCATAATCGATGAACGATTTTGTTCGAGTATAGCCATACAAAGAAATATTGTAAACATATCTGAAAAATCATTATCATTATCAATCAAAGAGAAATTTGTTAACCATCTCTCTAATGGCATAGACGATTCTATGGTCATTTTTTCTTGTTTAGAATAACTCGTAGTTAAATCAAATGCCGATGAACTATGTTCTTCACGATAATCTGAATCATGAGCATCAATACTTGAATGTTCCGATTGAATAATATCTTCAGGTGTTAGCGAGTTTGAACCTGATGATAATATTGTATTTGTTACCGACGATATTGTTGATAAATGTCGTCTGGTAAATATCGGTAGTGAAGAAAACTCATCGACATTTGTTGATTCAAATCGATCAATCGGTAATGATGCCCATAATGTTTCAAATACACGAGGTATATCTTTAAATGGAAATTCACGTTTACAATCTAATAACAACCAACGATAAGCAAACATTAAATTACCTGAAATAGAACAAATAAGATTTTTGCTAAAAAAACCAACTACAAACCAATATCACATTGTTCGATTTTATGCCATAGTTCTATATCAATAGCTCGAATAGTTTTTCGTAATAAATCTAGCCGACGATTCATTGCAATACCATCCGGATGAAACAGGAGACTCATATAACGCATTAATGCACAAAAACAAGCATAAGCTAATGGTTCATCATTGATAACATATAGAATAGGCGCAACCATATCCGTCATACCTATATAAACAAAAAATTATTTTTACCAAATATTTACTGAAATAAAAGAATAAATCAACCTTGTACATAACCCGGTTCCGGATGATAAATACAATAGTTCATAAGAATATTTAATAGTTTTTGTCTTGATAAATTTTTTTTGTTATCAAAAAATTTCACTGTACTATCAGTACGTGTTACATCTTTTTGTATTAAATTTTCTAGTATTATTATTTCGGATTCGTTTTTATTTTGCCAAGTTTGTTTCATTCTAAAATAAAATTTATTTTGTAATTCTTAGAAACTTATATTATCGTACATACGCGTCATACTGTTCGCGAGCGTCAATTTGATACTGATTTTTATCTTCATTTGTCATTGTTTCGTTAAAGATTCGAAATAAATAGCACCAAACTGTACTACGAATAGATTCTTCACAACCACTATCATATATACGCTGCCGGAAAGTGTGTATATTTAATAAACGACCATTCGAATGATCTAACATTTGAAGAAATTCTTTTTTTGTTAAACATTTATTCGCCTTTGTATTGGTTGAACTATGAAGCCAACTTGTTGCCTTCTTAAATAATGTTTCCGGTCGAAAAGTTATAGATTTTATTGTAGCTATAATACAATCATTTTCAGTTTCGATTAATTCATAATTATCATTTGCATTGGTTTCGTTTTTGCATCGATGATGTTTATCGTGTCGATCGACAGTAAGTTCGACAATGCTTTCATTGACATGATTCATAATACAACCATCAAGCTCAAAATCGTCGGTAATGACGAAATTATGTTTAGTTTTTATTAGAAAATTTGAATGTAAATTAAATATTCGATTTATCAAACCAACAAGAAATGAATATGATAGCAGTGAAGAATCAATCGATAATCTTTTTTGGCATTGACAAGAATTTAACTGATTGAACTAAAAGAATTATTTGAACATTAGATTAATGAATTTTTTTGAGAAATTTCTACCGTTATAATAAAGATAACAATATTTGGCAAATGAATATTTGGTTGAGAACTTCGATGAATAAGATTTGATGTAATAGTTAGCAAAGTCTGCAATACAAAAACGTTTTCGTGTTGATATGGCAATTTAACCAATGTTTTGCTTAGCAATCTTTGAAAAAATTATTCATACTCAAAAAATAGCGGAACATTCGATATTCTGTCCTAATAAATGCAAAAATACTTTACCTCATCATTACTATCGCATATGTAATTATCACTCGTGGTCATCAATGAATAGGATGAATGCACTTTCATATTGTTATTCGATAACATTGTTTAGTGGAAATAACATGTATTTTGCAAGAAGCATATATCTTGACTTCAAAGGTAAATAGGTGACACGTCTCCTGTTGGTGCTCCGACATAAATTTATTAGACATGAACAGAGCGTATGAGTTTGTCTGTAGGTTTATTCTAAATATATTTCTTTTTCTATCTTTTTTTGTAGAAATTTAAGCCATGAATTTTTTTTTTAACCGTCCATCCTTCATCTTTTTCCTTATATGTATCCCAGTACGCATATGAGTTGCACTATAGCAGAAGTAAAAAAAAAAACAGTGCATAAAATGAAGAATAAAAACAAATTATTAACAACATGCAAAACAATTGTTTGATATGCTTTTCATTATCTTATCATTTGTTTATCGTTTGTCAAGGTAATAAAAGCAGAATAACAATCGGCCATGTACTTGTTCTATTTCGTTGAAATAACGTATAACATAGATTTTAAAAAAAATGTCTATTCAAAATAGCCCAGTAATTGAGTGACAGCGAATAGGAGTCATTTATTGTTCAATTTTCAATGTTCCTCGCTATTCTTAATCGTTACTGTTGATTTATAGATTGAATTCTATCTCTATTTGTTTAAAAGATCACATCACTCATGAATTCTCATTTCCTGATCAGTTCTTCCAGATTTCTAAAGGTTCCGGTAGTTCCTGCTAATTCATGAGAATTTTTTGTCGTAGCCTAATTCTTGTTTTTAAATGAAAACTTTCAATTCATGTCGATCTTAATCATTTTCTTATTTATTTTTAAATATCAATCGGGCAAAGACTTTTGTATGTTTGTTATTACTGTTCTAGATCTATTTTATTATATCAAACAGTGCAAATATACTAAATTTATCACATTCAGTGACCGGTATTAGTTATATTAATTATTGAAATGTCTTTGATAAGGAACAAGCAAATCCTAGTTTTTGCACACAAAAACAAAACACACAAATTTTTCATATTTTTCATTTGTTATGTTTTTTTAGTTTGTTCTATTTGTCGAATATGTTCGATTAGTTCTCGATGGCGTATTTTAAATTGATAGATAAGATTTTCATAATGAACTTGTCGTTCTTTGAGTTGTTTTGATGTTGTTTGAAGTAAATCATATAAACGATAAACATATAAACGAAGAGTTTTTTCACGTTGTATAAGTTCATTATCAGAATTCTTTGTGAAAATATTATTGTCATTATTTGCTTTAAAATATTTATTTGTTAATTCATATAAATCAATTTTGGTTTTATATGCTTTTTTCTCGCGTAATAGACGATCATTTGTCCAACGTAATTCAATATTTTCATGTTTTAATGTTAACACATCAACCAGTAATATTGAAATTTCCAAATCAGCTACATCAACAATACCAGAAACATTCGGTGGAGGTCTAAACTGTTCTTGAGAATAGGAAAATAATTGTGCTCGTTGTGGTAATTGAGATAAATGTCGTTGGCATTGTTCATGTAGCACAAATATCGTCCGATAGAGTTCACTAGGAAAAGAAAATATGATGTCCCTTTTTTCGTCTTTATACGATGCGCTTTAAAAATCATTTTCATACGAACACAATAAGAAACTAGAATAGTTCTGAGCTGTGTTCAAATGCGTGAAAAAACAAAAAAATATGACTGCATATATGAATTATGGCTGCTATTAGAATTTATCAAAATTTTTTCCTATAAATCGAAATCGAAAAATAAAATTTGTTATCTTTCGACTTGAGTCATTAAAAAAAATTTTTTTCGACGTTTTCGTTAATTTCATCGACGAATTCGTTGCATTTTGGCATCGTATTCTGAGATTGGTGCTGCAGAGCCTCTGTGGCGAAGCGGATTAACGCGTTGGACTTCTAATCCAAAGATCGTGGGTTCGATCCCCACCAGAGGTGGTCTGAAATGATTTTTTTTATTCTGTTTCTACAAACGAAACTTACGTATTTTCAGCGTCTTGATGTATTCCTATAGGTGTAACATCGCTAATTTTTTGATAGATATGATTTTCATGATTGTCATCATCACGTTTTCGTTTATCGAATGTTATTTGAAAACGATCGATTAATTGTTGAAACGTTTGTATAAGTTCATATTGTATTTGAATGCAATTTTCATATTCAATTAAATATTGTTCATATTGACTAAATAAAACGTATTGTTTTTCATATGAATATTTACAATCAGCAAGCAAACGTTGTAATAGATCATTTTCACATTTTAGTTGTTCATTATGTGAGCAAATAGATAAATATTCTAATTCAATATGATTACGTATAAATGTTTGATAACATGAACATTTCGAACAATTCGAACATAATTGCTGATATATATAAACAAAATGTTCTTGTATTATTGATGAATAATTCATATTGGACACGGATACTTCTGCTATACGTCGACGAAATGTCGGAGTTGTGACAGATGAACTTAATATACTATTAGCTGGTGACCATATTGAATAGCATGACGCTGACTATCAAAAGACAAAGAGAGTTTATAGTGCGAGAAAATTTAAACAATATTGAAGATTTTTCTAATCACAAACAAAATTGTTTAGAGTGAATTTTGTTATGTTTTTTTTTTGTTAGATATCTACACGCACAAGCTGCGTCTATTTACGTTGTGAGAATGATTCTCACATCGGCCACGCTGCGGTCGCTGGCGAAAGAACGATTGTATCGTGTGCTTAATGAACCTTCGTGGTCAGTATCATTGGTTTGCTTGTTAAATTGACGTTTTAATAGATCAATTTTTTTATTGGCATTATATAATTCTTTGGAATTTTCATTTAGTCGTCGTGTTATCATTGTTTTTACAATTAGGAGATCATCACGAATTTTCGATAAACGAATTGTATGAGACTAGAATAAAAGAAAGAAAACTTTCCTACGAAGTCTCTTCTGAAATGATTCGATTGTTCGTTTTCCAAGGCTCCCCTATAGATCAATTTTACCGAAGTGGCATTGTATTCACACAGATGAACATACAGTCCCTAGGAAAATCTAGCATAACAACTTCCTTGCAATCGTAGCATACGCAGAATATTTCAGGAAGCCCATTTTTCAGTTATCTTATTTTACCTACCGACTTTTTTGCAATAATAAGTAGTTCTTCCGAAATAGCATCAAAATGTATGGCGATATTTGAAGTTTCATCATATTCTGGTTCTAGATAAATTTCATCGTTATCACCTTTTTTGCTTGATGAGACTGAAAAATAGAAATTGAACGAAAAAACGAATGAAAATAAATTATTGAGATATTTTACCACTAGCTGTTGATTTAGCACGTTTTCTTAATTTAAAAAATTTTCGTCGTAATCGTTCCATGACCTATAAAAATGACTTCATTAAGTTTTGTTTTTGCTTTTATTTATTAAAAGAAAATAAAACTTTATTTTAAAAAAGTATATAAAAAATAAATATTTATCATGCAATAAGAGACGGCGCAGTACGTTTTTGTGCTTTATCACAGGCTTTTTCGACTTGTTCAAGACGATTCCATTCACTGGATGATCTCTAGATGTATAGAAAAAGAAAAAGAAAAAGAAAATGATTAATTCTAAAGGAAAAATTCTTACTACAAATGAATTGGAAGCTTTCAGTGATGTTCCGCATGATTGAAGCGTTTCTCGTTGTTGTTGATTTGATAGACGTTGAGCTCGTTTTAGTTCTAAATGAGTTTTTAATTGTTCAAGTTCTGGATTACTTTTATCAACAGCTGGTGGTGCACTTATATTTCTTCGTTTTCTAACAATCGAACGAAGAGTTTTGTTTCAGTTTATCGAATAAACTCATTTTGTTTTACCTCATAGCTGCTTGTGTTGTTAAATCACTTCGACGTTTAGCTATACTTCGAACTGTAGTTGTTAACATTTTTTCTTTGGTTTGCTTTTCTCTAACGATTTGATCACGTCGTAGTTCACGTTCTTTTTCTCGTTCGAGTTTTAATAATTCAAGACGTTCACGTATTTCAGCTATAGACATTTCGTCGTGGAAGCCATAGCCAGGTACTGACGTTCGATCAACAGGTCTCCATCGATCGACCGGTAGTAATTCGAAGGCTCGAATCTGTTGAATTAATTCGGCACGTTGTCGCATTTCTGCTTCAGCCTAATAAAAAAGAAGAAAAACACTGACATTTCTCAGCAATGTTAGTTTCAATAGTCAATTCCTATGTGTAATACTAAGTTTAGTTAAATGTGCAAGACTGGATGAGTCCGTGTCATTCGTTGAACTGCCGAAATAGACTTCCGGTGAGATTTATGCGTTTTCACAGGAAGTAAATTTGGTCGTGGGAAAGACAAGAAGACTAGAACCTACAGACATACTCTTACCATATGAATATCATCTCGTTACACTTGTAACAATGTAATGAGACGGTTTCGTTCTCTTTTTTTTTTGTGCGTGTTTATTATGCTTGAGTTTCATTTTATACTGAAAGAAAAGGATATATATATATATATAGATTACTTATTGATTGAACACAGATATGATCGAAAAGTTATTTAGGGCTACACGAGAGGTTTCTTTGCAATTCGCTCATATGGCTTTGTAGGATACCAAAGAAAAAGAAATTGAACTTAATCGATTTTTTAATTGAGTGTTCGCTTTACCTTTGAAATTACAATCCGTTAAATTTTAAGAAAGGCCAAGCCGGCTTTGAATATTGAAAAAAGGCCTCAGCGTAATATGCAATTGTGACGACGTTGATTACGACAAATTCTTATGAAACAAGAAGGGCGGCTTGAGATGAGTTCGAAACTACGGATTTAAAGCATATTCATCCTATCGCGACTACTTGAATTTTTAGAAAAAAAAGGATAGCTGATAGTTTTGAACTCAACGTTCAGGTTTTTCTTAAAAATTCTGCATAGGGAAGTTCTTGGAATCAAAACTTGTCTCCGGCTCTTAAATATTTTATCTTGCTTTGTTTTTCATACCTCTTCAAGTGCTTGTTTCATTAATTGTTTTATTTCTTCTTTATATTGTTTAACAAAATCTGTTTTATATTGTTGAAGTTTTTGTTGTGCGGCTTTGGCATTTTCTCTTCCACTAACAACTTCTTCGACTAGTTGTCTAAACAAAGAATCAATTTCATTATTTCTTAAATCTATTCATTTACTTCATTCTTTGTTCTTCTTTCAGTTTTTCTTTGACATGAATCTCAATTGCTTCACGTGTTTGTCGTCTAATTTCATCGGCTATTCGTCGATTTTCATCGGTTAGACGTTGCCGTGCTAGTATAGCTTCTTCATAGCTTATTCTTCCTTCTAGTCGTTTTCGTTCAATAGCATTTATTTGTTGTTCATAATCTTGTTTTTGCATTGTCTCTTGCCATTGAAAAAATTCGTGTGATTCTCTTCCACCAGCCTCGAGATCAAGCAAATGTTGACGAACATTTTCTTCTTGCTTTTTGTATATCTCATTTTCTTTAAGTATTGCAGCGGCGTTTAACTTAACTGTAATTTTATTTGCCTACAATATTTATATATATATATAAGATTGTTTGATTAGCGGTTCTTGTGAAAACCAACGAACCTGTAGTTTCGGCAGTGGAATTGCTCGGATAGGTTCAAATTCACGACTTTTTTCATTTTCCTCAATAATTTGTGCTTGTTTAATTTGAGTTCTCTTCGATTTTTCTGTCTGCATAAAATGAAACGATAATGATTGTACTTGATTTAATTTGTGTAAACCCTGCCGATGATTTTCATCACGTGTTCTTTCTAATTCAATTTGTTCAGTTGATGATTCGTACGTTGATTTTGGTGGTGGTCGACTTTTTTCTAGTTTCGGTATCTGAAGTCAATGAAACATACAAATCGAGCTCGATAGATTTTATTTACTAACAGGTTTCGGAGTAGGCGGAATACGTTCTTTCAGTGCAGTAAGATTAAATGGTTTTGCTTTAGTTGGTTCTGGCAGTTGGCGTGCTGCTATACGTCCTTCTATTTTATCAGAAATTTCACGTAAAATAGAACGGAAAACTGGTCGATATCTATTTGAACAGTGAAGAAAGAGATTATGCAAATAAAAATCTAGATTATATTTTGCATACTTGTCCAGAACTCGAACAATATTTTCGTTGATGTAATCCTCGTCGTAAAATTTCATACTTTCATTTTTAATAATTGTACCATAATCTTCATTGGTAAGAAATTCCATAAACTGAACAGAAATAATATTGAAATTTTAGATAGATGAAAATGGTAACTTTACCATAAGGTAGTGTCTCCTCTCATTTGTTTGTTGTGAATCATACGACAATGTAAGATAGCTCAATCAGACATTGGACTTTAAAACTAGGAAAAATTCTTCGCTATTTTTACAACAGGATCATTTTTTTATATCAGACGTGCTAGAGAATGATCAACATTCTCGATATTATATTCTGAAAATCGACTATGATCTTTTAAAGTGAATTGTAAGTCAGAATTTTGTCAAACATGATCTAAAGAACGAATTAAAATCTGTAGAGTAGAAATTTGTACCCAATTTTTCTGTGAGGGCTGAAGTAACAAAATCTGCCTCCTCAGACTCTTCTGAAAGTAATTTTATTTCCTGAGGTTTTCGATCACTGATGAAGTCAATTTTTCTTTTCATGCAACAATAGAATAGAAGGATCAATATTTGTTCAAAGTCATTCGTTTTCCCCCTGAAGTATTGACTCCAATTTTTTTTTCTAGCAAAGATTAAAAAAGTCCAAGTTCTGATAGAGTGATCTCATATCCTCAGGAGATTCACAATGGAAAAGAAAACAGTCAGCAGTGGAGTTTAAGCACCAAATAGTTTTTTTCAAGCAAATCATACAAGAATTGTGAATTAAAATCAAAACATCGTGTAAAGTGAAGAAAAATATTTGATAAATTCAACTTTAATTTGATTTGTTCACCTGATGCATTTGAAATAATTGTACTGAATTAATAAATCCTCTTATCAGTTTAAACTCAACTGTTTCAATTTGAAAAATGATCATATAAATGAGAACTAAACAACAAATTAAATCTAGCTCAAAATAAAAAGAAACAAAAAGTGATAAAACCTTTAAAAATATTTTGTTCAGATTTTTTTACATGACTACCATCGTTTTTATAGAAAAAAGCCATGATTGCTTTAAGTAATGCTGCATGTCGACTACAATCGAATAAGATAGTCGATATAAATGCTTGATCAGGGACCTGCATTGAGAAAAAATTTCTTTTGATTTTCAAAAAAAAAGAGAATTCAATAGCAAAATAAAATACTTTATTTATTTGAAAATATTCTTGTAAAAATATTTCTTCCGATATATCATTCTTATATTCATTTAATACTTGTACACAATGATAAAATAGTTCACTATATTCATTTACATTTCGTTCCATATTGACTCTGCAAGAAAGAAAAAATTGTTCAATCTATAATGTCACCATTATCATTACTTTTACCATAGTAATTCAAAGAAATAATTCCATTGGTCGAAATTTCCACCAATGAAAATATTCGTTTATTTTTCCGTTACATTACATTGTTTTATATTTAGGTCTTTTCTTTTGTTTTTTTTTCTATCAACGACAAATGTTGATTGAGAGTGTGATTTTTTTATTTATTATTCAAATAGCTTATTCATATAAAACAAATCCAACATCATGGATATGTACAGAATCTGCAAATGAAATATCGAGTTCATTGCCAGCATGTTTACCCGGTTATACAATTGATATTGAAGATGTTGTTTATGAATCAACGACTGATGATTCATGTCGTGGTACAACTTTATGTCATATAGAAAATAAAAATACACTTTTATTTGCATGCAATCGCAAACGAACGTGTAATATAGATACAAATAATTTGCATTTTCATATTAATTCAACATGTGGTTCAACAAAAAGATTTTTTGTTACCTATCGTTGTTTGCCTGTTATACAAGAACAAAAAGATTATTTATGTGATGCATCAACACAGCGTCGTGCGCGATTAGGTGACATTAATTTATCATGTGAAAAAAAGTATCGTTTGTATATTAAAATGGCATCTATTGGAATTAGTATAAAACAACAAGATGAACTAAATAAAAATCGCTTCAAATGTAATAAAGATACGCCTACAATTTGTAATTCTAATGTGCCAAGTGCATATCGTGATGTTTGCGATAGCCAAATAAGAGATGAGAATGATGATCAATGCAAAATTAGATTCAATGAACGGCCGATGTTAAAAGATTGTCAACATGGAACAACATCAAATTTCTCAATGGTAGAATATTTATGTATTCCAGGTGAATATTTTACTATAAAAGGAATAATGCTGAATTGTAGACAGTAGAAGTCTAGGCGAGACCATGCTAGTTAGATGAGTTTGTTTTTGTTTTTGCAAGATTTTATTAGGTTTCATTTAAGCGTTCCTCTAATTGCTTTGTGCGCGTACACAATATTTCTAGCTTATCCATCTGTATTTCTTATAAGTAATGTATTCATTTTAGAACATGTTGATCTAGGAAATGCCATATGTCGAATTTCTATTTCTATCATGCATTTCATGAATTGTCCAGCTCTGTCGCCGACTTGAGAAAGATATTTCAGTACTGGCAGATGTCTCAGTTATCCGTCGTATTATACACGGAGGTAGACGTTATTGATATGTGACCTTTTATCTTGCGTCAATAACATTTCACTGTTATACATAAGCTACTTCCTTGTATTGCACACAGAGGATTAATCGAAGAAACGTGCCTGACAATGAATAGGCTAAAAAAACCTTATACAGATTGTGTTAACTGTTGTTCTTTTTCTTGCAGGTGGTGGTATTACTGACGACCTTCCTCGCATTGATATTTGCTCAACAGATATACCCGAACGTATATCTGTTGATCGTGGTTTATTACATTCGCCTAATTATCCGCAAGCATTAGGTCAATATTTAACATGTAAAAAACAGTTAGTTGTTCCGCGTGAATCACGTTTCCGATTGTTTATGCTCGAAAAATCAATTGAATATTCTCATGAATTCAACATACGATCATCAAATAATGTGCAAACATTAGCACGGAACGAATTGATTGATATTAATGTAACCAATCAAAATAATGATAAAATAGTTCAATTCGAATTGAAAACAAATCATGTTGGTGGTGGAAACATTTTACTTTATTTTCAAAGTAAACTTGATTATATAAGAGTTTCACTTATAATTATTTTTATTCTAGTCGATTCAAGAATATCAGAATATGCACCGTTTATTCTTGAACCCGAAAAAGATATTAATGGTTATGATCGACGAGGAAAAACACCATTAACACGGGATTGGGGTATGTTGAATATATTCCAATGGAAAAGTATAAGCTGTAAAATATATATTTACCTCCAATATACAATGGAGAGAGAAAAAAAACAGACCACTTGAACTATTGATTCCGATAAAAAGAAACTTGATAAAGTTCGTTTCTATCGAATTTACTGAAAATTAGAGCATAGAGCTTATTTTGATTGCGAGATATGGCCTTTTATTTTCCGCACAATAAACTAGCTGTTACACAAAGTTAGGTCATTCCGTAGCAACATACTTTCTTGAGACTGCTAAATTTTGTCGATTGCTATTGATTTATTAATATGGTGATTTTGCAAATGCGCCAGAAAACATTTCTATACTAAATGCGATCTGTATTGTTTCTTCTCACAGAGATTTAGATCAATGATTCTGGCATCCGGATTCGTAAATTTCCGTCGGAAAGACTGCATCATTTCTAATCAAATAATCACAATGACATAGAACTAAAAATCCAACAGTCGACTTTTTCGAGTTCCGGACAGACTAACTTCCTACGCCTGTGACGTCCTGCTAGATTATTTAAATTTAATAATGAATATAAAAGTATCCCTTGTGATTCTTGTTTTTCTCAAATCGATCTACAATGATTAAATGTATTATTTAATCAATAACTTCGTAAATTGTTTTTTATAGGAATTCTTATTGGATGCATAATCGGTCTTCTTTTGGTTTTACTTGTCATAGCTACTATATTCATTATATTTCGAATTTCGAAGTGAGTTGAACTTTGATCATCATTTTAAATTTTATAATAATTCATTGTAGACGTCATCGTGACCGTTCTCTTCGATATCTAAAAAGTGATGATGATCATCGTCAACGACTTAGTTTATCGACAACATCGCCTGATGATCATCATCATCATCATCATCATCAAAAACATCTTCACATTGAACAACCATATTTAAGTTCATCACCACCAGCAATGCTACCACCATCATCAACTAATGGTCATAATCGACCAAATTCAGCTTCATCAACAACATCATCAATAATCATGCATCAGATAAATGATGGTCTATCCGATCGTGAATCGCTTATTAAGCCGATCGATCAAGCACAATCTCGTTCGCATGCAATCAATAGCGATATTGATAATTTCTATGAAGAAATCAAAGAGCAACAACAACAAACCGCTTTAGCTTTAGGAAAGAATGATACGAAAGGTGATATAGGAAATCCTTATCTTGAAGCAAAATCTTTTGAAACAAACCAAATTGTTTTTCAAGGAAATAAACCAGTGCCACCTATCCGAGATCATCATGAGGTATTTTATTATGAATGTGACGAATAAATCACTTGCACTTTGTACAAAATCACGCTGCTCCTTCTATTTATTCTTGTTCATTATATAATTGAGAATGATACTAATATATATATACAAAGATTAAAGAGCATTGATTTTTGTTATTTGTTCTTTATTGTGTCTGTTTTTCTAGTCGTGCTATTCTATGTTGTGTGTGTGTGTGTGTATTTATACCTTTTTTTGTCGTGAAAAATAAAAACCAATTTAATTGGTTTTAATATTCCTATTTATTGCTTTAATCATCTTGCTTATGCTTTAGCACATTGCACCGCTCTTAGTGGCACTTAGAATTTTATTCCGAATTTAATTATTATTTTGTGAGTCTATCTAGAGTCAACAACAGTATCAATCGCCAAGTAATACGGACGCATCAACTGTTGCAATAGAGCCAAAGAAACGTTCAACGAAGACACCGCCTAAAATTCCACAGCCAGCAATGGATATAAAATCTTCAGAACCAAGTACATCAACATCAGATCTCAACGAAAATAATAATTGAAACAGGCGATGAAATATTTTTTCATAAAAATTTTTAATAAAATAAAACACATTACTGTTGAAATGAGTTCCTCTTGTAGATCATTTGTGTTTCCCTTATTCATTATGCAGTGCTATATTTTTCCTTGTTTTATAAATCTCAGCATGTTTATATATAATGCACAATCTACTTTGGATATCTTTTGTTTTATGGGTTTATTAATAAAACCATTGTACCTCTAGTCTTTTTATTATTTTTTTAATGCTAGTATTGCTCTTTTTCTATTTTAACACAATGCAAATATCTTTCCTTTGTTTTTTTACATGTATTCTAAATAAAATCTATGTGTCAAATGATGATACCCAAGTTTAGTTTAACAAGCCGGAAATCTTGATTTTTGTTTTCTAACCGCATAATGTCGAAAAAGATAAATGTGTTTCCGTGCTTGTCCACTATGCATTTATCAGATAGCGTACATAGAGAATAATTGTTATTAATTACAAGCTGCCTTGTGTATTTATTTTTCCTGGAAAGAATACAATCATTTGTTTTTCTTTTCACACGATCAGAGTGTTTGGCAACCGTCTAATTTATTATCGATTAAGATGAAAAATCGTTTTCTTTTTTTTACGTATTACATTCCTATCTATACTGAACCGAAAAACAAATCTCTCGTAATTATCTATGTGCATATCTATTTTACGCGAGACTTTGCATTCTTCTCAACGAAAGAAACAAATTGAATTTATCCAGGAATCTATCCAAACATGTTTTCTAAAAGCTACTAGGCCTTGTTATTTATCCATCTGTCATGGTTCCGTGTAAAAATAGCTAAGAACTTTTTAATATACAATCAGCAGTAGATTACGAGTTCGTTTATCATCGGCATAAGTCTCTCGATACTTTCATGATGTTATGTTAGCCGTACAAAAGTAGTTCCATGTCAAAATAAATACGAGGAAAAGAACTGCTCTTGTATTAAAGTTGAAAAGAATGACGAAACCAAATAATTGCGCCTCGTAAATTACAAAGAGAGTACTCGTTTTTGTTTTCAAAAATCTATATTACAGCATGCATTGTTTTGGCAAAATGTGCCAATTAAGGTTTCTTTTTTTGTGGTTTTAAATAAGAAATGCATTATTTTGCATTTCTAGCATTACTAGTAGTTTCGTTACTATGATTGAATTTTTAATGAACTAATATGCTCTCATATACATTAAACTGGTTACTCAGGAACTCACTTGTTCTTGTTGATTTTCAAGAACGACTTCTAGACCATTGATGCATTTTTATATATGAATATATAGTTTTTTGTTCATGTGAAACAACATGTTACCTTTTAACATTGAGATAACGGAATTTTTCAATAAGTGTAAGCTCAACAAAAATGACTATACAAAGTTGATGGAATAACGCCGATTCGCAAAACAACATCGAGACACGAAGAAAAGAAAAAAATATATGTTACATGCAGCTGTGTACCTCGTTTTCTTACTCGCTATCATTTACCGCAATATGCCGATATTGTTTTTCTTTCTTGGTCACAGTAAACGTTGTCAAAGCGACATACAAGCAATAGAAGAAAATTGTTACATTTTTCTTGAATGTTCTTATTTTTGTCATAGCCGTACAAGAGCAACAAAAAAAATTTTAAAACTCAATCATCGGGCCAATGAAGACCAATTAGTTTGATGCAGCAGCTTTTAAGTTTATACTGCAGACAACAACTAGAGTAGACATCCAGTTTGTTTTTATACGTTTCTTGTTGTTCGAAAGATTGAAGAGAACTTTAGGTTCGTTTGTGTTCTTGTCTTAGCTTCGATCTTCTAACATATGTTTTTCTGTAATAACACAATCGATGACGAGGGGAAAGCAAAGAAGAAAAAGAACGAACGAAGAGTAAAGAAGAAAAAAGGCGAATATGATTAAATTACGAATATTTCTCTTCGTGCAGATGCTGTGTCAAGGCAAACTGGTTCTTTTCTTTTTTGATGCTGAAAGAGAGAAAAAACACAGCAAAGAAAAAGAAAAAAGCAAGCGACGAAAACAACCAAGTTACATATAGAAGTATAAAATGTTTTCTGTCTATCCGTCGACGGCCAAGGCAGTAGCCTGGGGTATGAAAACGAGAGAGAGAGAGAGAGAGAGAGAGGAAAAAGACGAAGGGTTCTTGTTGTTGTTGAGTACTGCAAGTATAAAGGCATCGAGAGAAACAGACGAGCTTTCAGCATTGCGACAGAACGCAATTAACAGTCAGTAGTTCTTTCTCTCTCTCTCTCTCTCTCTCTCTCTCTATGTCTCGCTCATTCCAGAGCAACAACAATAGAGAACACGATTACATTTGCAGTCTCATATTCAACCTTGACACAGTGTATTTGTCAAGCAACAAAGATTGTTGATGACATCAATTGATATATTTAAAAAGAAGAATATACAGTAAGTAAAAAACACAGCTAGACACCAAAATAATGCATTTTATTCCAATATTATGTTATCATTTATTTTTTCTATTGACAAATAAATTAAAAATTTTAAGTTTTCTTTCTAAATCGATCAAACATACAACCTAATGCTTTACATCGTTATCTTTAGTGAAATAAAAATAGATCAGAAGATTTATGATCTATTCGATAGAAATAAGAATTAAATTTTGCCAAATGATCTACGGATATTTTTTCTGAATTTTATTTTGTCATCAAAAAAATTAATTACTTCGATCTGTATAAAATTTTAAAAAACAAAAATATTTGTTCTTAAGAAAATTATGTTAGTTTAGCCGAAAAGAAAAACAGTAGTCAAATAAAAATAAAAAAGTATCGCATGACTTCTATTTAATAACTTATTTCACAACATCTAAGACATTACACCTTGATCTTTTTGCATCTATAATTCTTAGGACTGAAATAGAAGCTATTCATTCAACTGAAGTTATACTTTTAAGGGTAACCAACTGACTATCAACATGTGTATAGTAGTGATGCAGCGAATTAGGGCTAGAAAATAGTTCTCAGTACAAGATAATGTTACACCTGTACATGTGTAATGTGCCGCCAATTTTTTTGTTATTAATATGAGAGTTTTCCAAATAGAATTCTATGAAGGGAAAGTAGGATAAAAACTTGATAAAATTCTTTCTCCGCTAGGATATAAAAAACAACATACGTAACTAATCTCTAGTGTATATTCACTCGAAATTCGATAATAGTAAGAGTAGTGTCTGCTTTATTCCGGTCATTGATTGGCCCGTATGAATAGTTAAATATATAGACTAGTGAGTAAAACATTGCTACGATAGAATAAAATATTCTCACAGAAAAAACCAACGAATCATTGCTAACCACGTAACCATTTATATTTTAAAATGATGAAAATTCTACACTTGGTTTTCTAACTCATGCTCGTACTTATCTGAAAAACAAAAACTTGCCATGAGATCGTTAGTGCACGTGGATTTCTCTTAGGAATCAGACTATTTCGGGCGGGATTGTGTTAGAAAAATTTCCATATGGATGCTTTTTAAGGTTTTTTGCTTTGGCTCGATCTAATTTTTTCGTGTTATACATAAATGTATTCTTATACTCTTGAAAAAAACATCATAATCAGCCAATTGCTGTTGATCGAGCATCAGCTGGTTTTCTTCTATTGGTTGGCTATAGTCAATACAAGTATCGCTTCTCTTCGTTCTTGTTCGTGCAAACGATAGAGAGCAACTCAACAACTAATAATAATAATAATAATAATAATAGCAACAGAGAAGAGAAAAGAAGAAGAAGAAAAAAAGTAACGGATAGCGACACAGAAAAAAAATACAAGAAGGGCTATTTTGAATAATCAAAGAAACTGACGAATTAGTTAAAAAGCGTGTGTGTTCGTCACAATTTCATAACATAATTTGCTCTTCACAAATGTTACGAACGTCAACGAGCGAGAAACCGACGAACAAGGTAATTTTTCTAGTAAAAACGCCATCGACTCTTCGAAAACTTTTATGTTATGCATACAAGTTTTTGATTTTTCAAACATAATGAAAACTCTTTAAAGAGTAATGAATCGATTTTTAGTAGACGCTCAAGATTCTGAATCATGAATTTAAAAAAAAGGAGATGAAATGAAATTTTATTGTTGACTATCAAACATCAATAGCGTCCGATTTGAGTAGTCCAGAGTGAATTGGCTAGAAATCCTGTTTGATATCGATCGTAAACAGGTCTCATCTATAATTGAATAGTACCTTTAGGTTATACAGTAGTTTCTATATATCTCGGAGAATAAGACATAATCATGTTGGATGAATAATTTACAAAGTTACTTTTACTCTAATTATCTATTTTCGGTACATAGGGAAAAAACAATGACTTTTAACTTTAGATTCTATCGAAAAATGGTCATTCATTATAGAAGTTGTATTCGTAGTATATTGACATATAAGCCTAAGAAACTCTATCCCATATGCACTTTGATTACTTCGACTTATATTCAAAGTTTTAATCAATAACTAGTAGAAAACTTAAAAGGCTCAAATGACAGGCTTGATTATTTTTCTTTTTCTTTTAATAATCATAAGATTCGCATTGGAATCTATGAGCCGTACTAATCGCTTGATAAATTACTTCACAAAACGAAAAATCTTTATTTAAAAGCTAGACATATTCGCATCCATACATATACATTTATTTTATGCTTCTCATCATATGTTCTCGGATTGTTTGTTTTCGTCTTAGCTTATTGAAATAATCAAAACGAAAATAAGCTGAGATTTTTCTTAACGCAGAAATCTAATGAATTCCTATATAAATCGTTGTTTCCCTGTTATATATATATATATATAGGTTCATCTGTGTTGTTTTGCGTTTCTTACAAGGCCATACTGACGGCCTGTTTGTCTTTCTTCTCTATGCGTGCATGTAGGCGCGCGAGTGCGCGCTTATATGAAAGATCCGACCGCCCGACCAGATGATTACTGCAGGAGCGTTTACTTGTTTTGACAGTTCGACGTTTTTTCTTTGCGGTAAATACGATGG